ATGCATGCTATGATATAATATTATGCCTAACATGCACATGAATTGCTAGTCATGAAATCTAGAAAACAATTTTGTATAAAAAAGGGCTTAGGTCGTAATTTTATTTCGATTTTTCTTATTTTAGTTCTGTTACGAGTTCAGGGACTGACTGTTAGCCAAGTGAAATATACCTCCTGCCCATAGGTTTCAGTCTCTTATACAACCTGATGTAAAGTTGACGAAAAAAAATTAGTCATCTCAATATTGGTACACACACTTCTGGAGCACCATTTTATGTTTATGATGAAATTCTGTTAAGTTCTTTTATTCATTTTTGTTTGATTTTATATTCTAACTGACAATTCCCTGTAGGTATATCAGCCCTTATTCTCACATCTATCAAATTTCAGTGAATCGTGATAAATTTAGGTCACACTTTGATATCTTTGCATTTCTATTTTTAGTTGTTTCACGGCCCAGAGATTTATCTGTGTGTGAACTGTTTGTCCTGATATTGTGGTATAAATCAGGTTTCTGTGGAACCAACCAACTACTTATTCTTCTTCATGCGTTTGCGCTGGTGTATCTTTTTAGCAAGGATACTGTAACAAGAATAAAGATGACTATACTGTGTGAAGGGTATAATACCCTAGATTAGTGGTGGGCAAGGTAACGACGGGCCATTACTTTTGCCCACCTGTAAGTTGTAAGGGCCCTGTAAGTTTGGCGTAAAAAGTCACATTTTATGAACAGTATTTACAGTGTTACAAAAGCAAATGTGAAAAACCAATAAGCCTCGTGCTAAAACTAAATTTAATCGTAATCTCAACAAATTCCTTGAGCTATTTTTTAGCTAAAACATCAAAATTTGGTTTTGGTTTGGTTGTGGTAGCATCAGGCGGGCTAGATTGAATTGCAAATCCTTTCTTCATATATACTTCCTATTTCAGAGAGGTATAAGTCAGTTTCCACAAGGATGTTTAAATGAGATTGTTTTAATTAGGAAAAACAATCTCTTTCCAAAATAGCAAGTACATTTGTTAGCTTTCATTAGATCAGTGGTCTGCAACCTTTTTTCAGTGACGGACCGGCAGAGCCTGACAAAATTTTGGCGGACCACCTTTATACAAACTAACTAATCTAATTAATTATATGAATTAGACAATTTTGTTTGACAATACATTCAAAAACAAAGGTGATACTATTCACGTAACATGTTCTTATTACGTTCACCCTACTTAGATATTTCGCTTTTATAGTCTTAGTAGTCAATTTTGAAAACCCGACCTCGCATAAAGGTAACAATGCTATTGCATTGTACGTTTTTTATGTCACCTTTCTGAGGACCGGTAGTAACCTATCCTCGGACCGGCGATGGGCCGCGGCCCTGTGGTTGCCGACCACTGCATTAAATCATAGTTTAACTTCTTCAGACAAAACAAGATGTAATTAAGCAAGTATAACTTAGTGAATATATTTGCTATTTCGTGGAAAGAGATTATGCTATTCTTACGGTAATAATTTTATGCGAACTTATCTTACTCTGTACACAAAGGAATATATTTGCTTTAATATGCAGCAAGACTCTTGAATCTTTTAGAATAATATGGTAATGCTGGTATCAGTGATAGAGCCATAGTGATAGTATAGTGAGGGAGCCCCACCCCATAAAATGTGAGAAAAGCATTCTTCTGTATCATACATACCAATTTTTGTAGCTTGAAACGTTTTTCAGACCCTAGCTGTTTCGGTCTAAAGCCATGTCGACCCGAGATTTTAGAAATTTTGTTTGGAAATTTCTGGGCCTCGCTACGCCTTTGGCTAGTATTACTAGTTTTATATTTGGATTTAAATCGGAGGTCTGACTTCCGAGCTGAGACTATGATAAATATTTTAGAGTGTGTTTGGAATAGATATTTCATTTTTTCGCAATCACTCTGATCAAGTATCTTTTCTCCTGTATAATTTTTCAGGCATAAGACGTCATAATCCTATCTATGATGTTGGTAATCTATGGATTAAAAACTTTAATCAGGAAATAGATAAGAAGATTAGGCTGATTAGCATTGCTAAATTAGAACCAATGTTTGTCTGATATTTTGAAAATATTTTTTATGTAGTAAGGAGTTGGTTAGGACGAGGAAATGATTTTTGTTTTCTCTTGGAGAGAGGAAACCTGATAATGTAGCTTGATAATATGAAGAACCATGCTTTCTTGTTGGGTCACCAGTTTATATGGGAATAGTTAACTAGTTATTTGTTCATCATTCACAGATTTTGTATTAAATTTCAGGGAGAATTTAGAATAGCTTTATGTGCTTCTGTACAATCTGTGACTAACAGGATTAGCGGTGTTTCCAAGGAGGGTGGCCCCGCTTTTTAAAATGTAAAAAAAATTATTCTTCTGTAACATACATTGCAATTTCTTATAGCTTAAAACCCTTTCTAGACGCTAACTCTTCAAAGCTCACATCTTCCAGCTCCCGCACACTAGCTACAGGTATAACTCTGTAGTTAGAAATTTTGAAAGTTCCTTGCTACGCCACTAAGCAGCTAAAAATAGGTTTTATCTAAATGTAATAGCTGTGAAATATATAGATCAGGTATACGGTATACCCAAGTGTATACGGGATCATAAGTTGAGAATACAACTGATAAAGGGTATACGAAGGGTGTACAGTCTAAGTCTAAACTCGAATATAATTAATTATAAAAATTGAAGCGGAGACAACAATGCAAACGCAGCATACATGAAATATAAAATGTTATTTACGCAAATAACTGACATGAGCACATTGTTACATCATGATTTATATAGATAATGCGGTCACATGTCTGGGTTGGTGATTTCGGCTGCCATGCACTTTGTTCGATTTACGTTGAACATTATTCCTGTTGACACTAAGGTTGTCAATCAAATTTAAAACTTGCGGTCCCTAGCCTATTAGATTGCATCATGATATTGCAGTACAATATGTGCTCAAAATTTATTGTTTATTTGAGCCTTAAATAAACATTGGTATTTGTAAGGTAGGCCTATACAAAGTTCTTGAAAAATTGTAAAAGGTATACCACGATAAAAAAGGTTCAACAACAATGATATAGATAACCAAGTGAAACTAAGTTTTCTGAATTAAAAAATAATTCAATTATTATAAATACATATTAATTTGCGTATCTCCTCTGTTTAATTATTATCAATTGAGAAATTGATCTATATTCTGTGTTTGAAAATATTTGTGTAGGCTATTAGAAATACCGGTAGGTAATAACTTTATAGCAGTTATCCCTGGCTTATACTCAATCATACATTCTGAAATAATATTTATATATCTACATTTTTCAAAATTGAGGGAAAGTTTTTTTTAGAAATAACATTAATCACTATAATATCTCCATGTTGATCACATCTAAAACGACATAAATATAAAGCTCATTGTTTTCTCTGTGTTGCTTGTTACCGGTTTAGATATTTTACTTTTTGATCTGATTGTTGGACGTCTCAAAACCTCCTATTTCCAAATGTAAATATTTTTCAAAATTCAAATATTTTTTATAGTGAATATAATGAAATTTGATTCGTTTTGGACATCCCTTAGATAATTTACAATAAAATTGATTTTTCTCTACTTTGATTATATACAAGTAACCATAAATAAATGGTAAAACCTATTTTATTTTCAATGTTTCTGAATTGCGACATTCAAGTACGGTTAAATAACACAGTATTCACGATAAATTCGAGTTGGGTTGCGCGAGACTAACTTCCTATCTTTTCTCTATGCCTTTATGCTAGTGGATCCGTATGCGTATACTGCAAGGATACTGTAGCTGGAATAAACATGACTATTCTATTCAATTAAAGAGTCCAGCTGCACACTAACACAAATGTATTTCTGTAACGTTTCGTCCGACCAGAGTCAGACTTCCTCAGACAAGCAGTTTACAACTGTTGTAAACTGCTTGTCTGAGGAAGTCTGACTCTGGTCGGACGAAACGTTACAGAAATACATTTGTATTCACGATAAAGTTGTTATACAATATCAAATTTTTTTAGACATAATTCACTGTTCATGTGAGTTAGGAGTTACTGGGCTTTTTTTGTTATGACCAACAGAAACTGTAAGTACATTAAAGTGGCCACTCAACTGGACATTATCCATCATTGAAGAGGTTTATTATTGTTATATTTAGTATTTTATCAATGAAGAGACGTTAAAACATTGACAAATTAGGCTTAGTGTTTAATATAACGAACGGTTCCCTACCTTTGCCTATTTTGAATTTTTGACTTCTTCTGGTTTTTGCATCTGCATTCTGAATAATTTATAATGTTCCTTTTTGCAGTAATAAAAAAGGTGCTCCCGTAGTATTTGTACCAGGTTAGGGTTAGGCCATAATTTTATTCCAATTTTCTTTATTTCAGTTCTATTACGAGTTCGGGGAATATCTGTGTTTGCCAAGTGAATATACGATAGGTTTCAGTCCCTTTACACAACTTGATGTAAAATAGGCAAACAAAATTAGTTACCTCCATATTGGAACACGTACTTCTGACGCCATATTATAAAACTACACCAATACAAAGCAATATTCCTACCCCAATCTTTGGTGGATTCTTAGTTAGTCATACACACAATTTGCAATCTGGTTTTTGTGAAGTTTAAATAATTTTTAATGGCTGTTTAAATATGCCTGACAAAGATACTAATAACCGAATGATATAAGTGAAATTACGCCGAATGCAAAGTCATATTTCTATATTTCCTCTCACAAAGTAATGAATATCCACTCTGGGGAAAAATTCCAGCTGTGAAGTTTGGGGAAATTTTCCGAACTCTGAGCCAATTAAAAGCGAATTAGTTAAAAAAATTCTGACACATTCTCTCGACTTTGGGCTGAAGGAAATTTGAGTCCCAAACTTGTGTGAAAATTTATTTTCGATAACAAAGGGGGTCACACTAAAGTTTGAAAGCCACTGGACTAAGATTTACCAAATAATTGTTTTATATTTCAGATTTTTAACTAATATCACTAATTAAAAAATCCGAAAGTCTAACTATTGACTTTTCATCATCTTCACATCCACACGATGGCGTTCTTGTTTCAAAACCGGAATTCTCGTACTTTTAAGCCGAGGAAAAAAATACCTGAAGGAACGCATCAACATGACCTCATGGAGCACGCTGCTGCCACCTTGGGGAGCGGGAATTTACGCTTGGCTGTGCAACTTCCAGAAGGTGAAGACCTAAATGAATGGGTCGCTGTTAACACCGTCGATTTTTTTAATCAAATAAATATGCTCTACGGAACAATTACTGAGTTTTGCACGGCTTCTTCTTGTAAAGTAAGTTGAGGATTTTATTCATACTGGGGTAGGGCTCGGCATTTTCGAATAGCTGATGATTTCAGAATCGAATCGAATATTTTTTTCGAATCGAATCTCGAATACTTGGGAGATATATAATTGTATGTAACTGTCTTCTTGTATTTGGTCCTCCAGACACATAAATTACTAGAAACGTAAAATATATCACTCAGACAGATTGCTGAGCGTTCACACACAATAAAAAATACGTTTTCATCAATAACTCACCACAGAAATGAGTCATATGTCAGAATTGCGTTGAAAAATATGACTTCCATAAAAAAAAATTTAGAAATTTACCTCGACAATTGGCGGAAAGGAAAAAAACAAGATGGCGGCGATTCGAAATTTCGCTTTGAACCGATTCGAATAATTTACTATTCGATTCGAATCGAAATGCCCAGCCCTATACTGGGGGAAAGATAAGCCGGTGGAAAGGCTCAAATAAGAGGGGTGATTGTTTAAGGCCAGAGGTTCCTACACACGATATACTCCTAAAAATTTTCGCTTTAGTTTTGCTTTTCATATGTTCCAATGATTATCTTGTGCCCTATGTTTGATAACTAAAAGTCAAAAATGAAGGTTAAGGAATTAATGCATTACAGTCAAAAAATTAAATAAACCAAATTTGATTTACTTTAATTTAATGTGGTCGTGGAAAACTTTTCTTGTAGCAATTAACACACGCTTAAAATATTTCAAGTGAACACTGCCAGAGAAGCAGCGAAGGAAAAGGAATTAAACAAAATTTATAGGGGAAACTCCTGCAGTTGGGTCTGCAGTTTTCCCCAAACCCCTTCATCTTTGAACTTCAAAAGTTCACCAAGTAAAAAGAACCCAATGTCTTTTTTTATTTAACTGTTTGTTTCCGTGTACACAAAAATTGAAAAATTAGCGACAGCCAAAATACCACGGGAAATGCAAGAGAAGAGAATGGGGCTGTCGCTCACCTTTCCATTAATAGGCAAAACAGCGAAAAATTTAACGCATCGTTCAATGTGCTCGATGGGGAAGATTTGAGCATCAAAGAGGGCCACACTGAATGACTTAGCGGGGCCGGATTGTGGCCCAAGGGCCGTCTATTGCACACCCCTGTTATAGAGCCTTGCTGCACACTTCATGAATATTTCCTGTAACGTTTGATCTGTCCAAGGCCAAATATGTTGAAATTTCTTGACACTAATTATAATTTTTTCTTCTAGGTCATGTCCGCTGGACCTAAGTATGAATACCATTGGGCTGATGGAACCAACATCAAAAAACCAATCAAGTGTCCGGCACCTAAGTACATTGATTACCTTATGACGTGGGTTCAGGACCAACTTGATGATGAGAGCGTATTTCCTTCCACAATCGGCACCCCGTTTCCGAAAAATTTCATGACAATCGCGAAGACCATACTGAAACGTCTATTTCGCGTCTACGCTCATATTTACCACCAGCACTTCAGCGACGTAATGAATCTCAAGGAGGAAGCACATCTCAACACGTCTTTCAAGCATTTTATTTATTTCGTGCAGGAATTTAACCTAATTGATCGAAAAGAACTAGCACCGCTGCAAGATCTCATTGATAAACTTGTTGATAATGATAAAGAAAAAGCCAGCAGGGCTGGGAGGTAGTTTGACCAAAACTAGACAAATCACAAGACTAATTTCCGTTGTACAGGGACAGCAGTATAAAATTTCATAGTGTGTAATTGTTACCACCTATTAGGGCAGATTTTTGTACTACGGTGTTTCCCTGAAAATATGACCTACCCTGAAAATAAGATCTAGCCTGAATTTTAAAATGATTTTGATATAAGCCCTCCCTTTAAAATAAGATTTAGTCGATAGCACAGATTTTTTTTGACCTAGTTGATAGCAAGAAATCTTTCCTACGCATTTCAAATAATTAAACTACATATTTGGAAATCTCATAATTCTCCACTTTGTAATTTTGTTTTCTAATAGATGCAAATAAGACAAATCCCCAAAATAAGCCCTGATGGTATTTTTCAAAAGAAAATTGAAATAAGACCGTGTCTTATTTTCGGGGAAACACTGTATTGGATCTCCATTTTCATCTGTTTGGGTATTGTCGCCTACCAGTCATTTTCTGCTCAAAATACTAATTTCCTGTTAATTACTCTTCTAACTTTTGCCTAAATTTTAGGATTTGATAAATTGAATATGATTCCAGTTGTCTAATATTAGGGATAAAGGATTTCTCTCGCAAACTCCTATATGCACCATTTTTTCCTCGTTTGTATAGGTCAGGGGTGGCCAGCATGTCGGTATCAAGTAGTCGATCGAGTCTGATTTCATTAAGAATGCGCATATAGAGCCAAGCTTATTTGCGTTAGTGGAATTTTCGATGCGTGTGTGCAGTTATACGCATATTCAGTATTATTCATTTATGTGTATGACCTTATAACCAATCGATCGCGAGCTATGTTAAGAATTTTTGACGATCATGATTGAAAGAAGGTTGGCCCCCCCTGCTAGAAGGACAACTAAGGGATGGTTAACTACAGCCCACCAAAGCGATTTTGTCCATCCTCCCGCCCTTGGGGAAATTTCCTACACCTACATATTAAATCTCATGGCCATTTTATCTCATGGCCTAGTTGTGAGACAGTTTGTCAATTCTAAAATATTTCTTTCCGGATTGTATTTTTAGGACACTATTCCTCATCCAAAAAATATTTCAATAATCTTAAATTCAGCATATTTGAGTAAGTTGTTGAGTTTTCTGGGTAAACATACTTTTTTATTATTTAATAACAATTGTCAAGATTGTTAGTCATAATTATGGCATACTTCGGCCTCGCATTCAGTTACCAGTTATTACTTGTAGAAGATAAATTGAAATTATTGAAAATGCTCGACGCCCCACGATTTGGCCACGGCCCACCGTTCGACAACCACTGCTTTAGAGGAGGTTTAAAAATTTGTTCTCTTCAATTACAAGAAAACAGAAACGTAATTGTTGAAATATTGAGTCTGAGCAGTGAATTTAAAAATAAATGCAATAGCCTTCCCTCTTCAAGTACGAATATGAAGCCGATAGGCGAACTAGCTGTGGAAAAAATCTTTTTTTTTAGCAATAAGGATTTTTCAGAAAGAAACATATGTTATCTTATTATGTGTCCGTTAACTACTTTTCAGGTATTCAAATTCAGGTTGTCAGAGTTCTTTTCTGATTGGTAAATTAGTTACGAAGAAAATCTTTTTTTTTTCTCCTAAAACACTGATTTAGCGAAAAATACGTTATTACGGGAAAACGAGTCCAGTACTCTTCTCAGATTTTGAATTTTCATAGTTCCTTTCTGTATAGGCATTCCTACAAAAGATATACTTTTTTGGGTTTGCTGTGGTAATTGCTTGTGGCATTTTTTCATGTTTTATCAAATTAGATGATTATTATGGTGATTTTTCATTTCCTTTTCATTATTTTATTATTTTTCATTTTGTACATAAGGTAACAGTTTTGTTTTAGGAATTAGATTACGCATACCCCCCCCCCCCCCCTTCAGTCAAGAAAGCAAGTTGTACATACGATGTTGAACAAAAATAGAACCAAGGACTTGATCAAAGACACCACCGCCAATTCTAAAATAAGAAGATCGTAATTATACATTCAGGGTCAGGACTGCAAATTGTGCTGGGATTCAAATTTTCAAATCAATTCCTAACTGGATAATTATTAATTTATTATTTTAAAACGTGGCGGAAATGTTTTCCTCAAATCTCACATTCTTGACTCGCTCGGGGCTTTGCACAACAGATGCAAAAGCTGTTCTATCAAAGTTTGCTATATCAATATAACTTCAGTAGCTGATTGCTTCTCTGCGCCGCGTAAGAGTAAGCTTTCTATAGGGTCAAAATAACTATAATAAACATTTGACATAACGAAATAACACCAATATGTTCGTAGTTACGTGTTGATAGCTGCTCGTGCACGCTTTCTTAAATGCCCTGTCCAGGGAGTCCTCGACTTACGACGCAGTTCCGTTCCTGAGACTCGGTGTAACCCGGATTTCAGTGTAAGTCGGAACATTATACTGTACAGTGGTACAGTGCATGAATTACTCTATACACATCGTACTGTATTGTAAAGTATGGTACTGTATACTAATAAAATGTACAAATAATGCAAAAAAGAACTTTATTAGCAAAAACAGAAAACAATTCCGCATCATGTGAATAAAAGCAAACCTTGATGCACTAACGTCAGTAACATCTTTTTTTTTATTTGAGTCCATAACAAAGGGCAAAAGTAAAAAAAAACGATCAAACAAGTTACGAAATAAACGGCTCAAACAACCAAAATGACACACAGTATTACTGAAACTGTACTGTACCATGTGACTGAAGCTTAGTGATTATTCGTTCATAATCGTAATAGTTCGCAATTGTCCACATCATTTAGGATGTAAATAACGAAAACCAATGAGCCCAGAGCACTGATTTTCTTGATCACAATGATCCAGTTTATAGGCTTTGATATTATAGAACAGTAATATCTTTTATATCTGTATATATTCGTGAAGTGCGATTGTAACCTCGAAACATCGTAAGTCGCGAGGACTCCCTGTATAAAATAAAAATAGCTAATATGAACGTTTAAAACTTTGAAATAACACTAATAGCTCATTATGTATTAATGGCCTTTTTCCTATAGCCTTGTTCAGAGAAAACGCTCAATGTAAAGAAAAAAAATGTACTAAATAATAAAATTAATAATAAAATTAATTTTTGAGAATCGTTCATTTATCTAAATTTTATAAAGATTTCTCGTTGTGGCCTTATGCATTTTTGTTATACAATTATAATTTATAATCTTGGCTGCAGGGTAAAATTTTGCTTATTGCATTTTTTCTGTGAATTGACTAATATTAACAATTAAATCTGAGTTAAAACCCTAAACCAGAACAATACATCATCTTCGGCCAGGGGTGTAGATGATGCAAGAAAAATTATTTATTTTTTTACAATGGGGGGAAGGTTATGGCCCTTTGGCTACACAACCTGAACATAGTATGTGTAGGGTTTAGGTTGTGCGCCATCTTGGTGCACATACTTCGGGAGCGCCAAAATTTCTATATATCTAAATTTTGATAGCGAAAGCTTTGGCTTATAAAAAATTTCTTGACTATTAAGAATATTTAGCAAAATTATTGCATCTTAAGAATTAGTTTTGTTTACAAAATTTAATTCCTCAGAAGTCAGAGTCGAAGACAAAATTTTGGAGTTTCGATGGAAGTTAAGACTTCTTTTACCATTATTGGAAGTTTGCAATTTTGACTCAAACTCAGGGGAATCAGAATATCGACTCTGGATATTTCAAATCCGTCTTGAAAACAAACGGAACTTTTACTTCAGCCCTATCTTTGAGGCAGCGCAGTATTTTCTATGCGTACCCCACTGTTACTATTCATTTTTTTTGTTTTTTCACTGTTTGAGAAATACAAGGCCAGAGCAGGACTTCCACGACATGAAGAATATGTATGTTTATACAATGAAATAACAATTTCATGGGAAAATAGTTTTTTTTAATTTTGCGATTATCGTTTCATCTTGTCTGTATTCAGAGATATCCAGAACAGATTGAATGTTTTCCACAATTTAGCCTATTTTTATTTGAAATTTTGTGCAATTCAAGTCTCCCAGTAATACCAAGTAGACTATGAGTTCTCAACCTTAATTCTTTCGTGTAGCGCAGTTGTCCACCTTTTTCTTTCCTTGTTCATTAAATTTCTCATGCAAGAGAAAAACTATGTGAAAGGGAGTTCCCCCCCCCCCCATTTGAATCGAATAAAAAAAAATTTTTATCATTCGTTTAATAGCCCCTCGAAACTCTCGAAAACCCGAACCTGCTAGCTTTTATTATTATCTAGCTTGTCTACTAGAAATGTCCCCCCCCCCACACTTTAAAAGTACCTGGCTACGCCCTAAGGAAGGATATTCATCTCTGGGTATATCTGCACCCTTTATCATCATATGTGACTTCCAATTTAATATTTTTCCAATATCATGAAATATTGTGTAATAGTGATAATTTCTTTGGTACTACCAAAGTATGTGTACCAGGTTAGGGTTAGGCCATAATTTCAGGTACAAATACTACGGGAGTCACTTGGATATTCCCCGAACTCGTAATAGAAGTAAAATAAGGAAAATTGAAATGAAATTATGGCTTTACCTGGTACAAATACTATGTTCATCTTGGTTCACATATTAGGGAGTACCTTTTCTTCCACCATTGTACCATAAACTTATTGATGTATCAATGTAATCATGAAAAACGATTTAAATTTCTTTGCTTTTGTAAAAATCTTCTTTTCCAGCTTTTATTGCTTACAATATTATTAAAGTAGAAAGGAAAATTGGATGGTTTTTTTATTTCCCTCTGCAATAGAGATTAATTAAGGGTGTAGTATTCGTACCGTACCAAGATGGCGCACAACCTGATAACCCTAACCTGGTACACAAACTATGTTCAGGTTGTGCGCCATATTGGTACGAATACTACGGGAGCGCCTAGTTAAGAGTATGCGGTTCTCAAACCCAGGAGCGTAGCTAGGAATTTTCAAGAGGGGTCTGAAATTTCTAATTGCTAGCGGGAGCGGCCCAAGGCGTGAGAAATTGTGGTGCTCCCGAAGTATGCGAACCAAGATGGCGGACATCGGAATGTAATTTGTGTACTAGGTTAGGGTTAGGCCATAATTTTAGGTATAAATACTACGGGAGGCTCTTGGCTAGTCTTCGAACTGATAATAGGACTAAAATAAGGAAAATTGGAAAAAAATTATCGCCTAACCTGTTACCCATGTTACGTTCCGATGTCCGCCATCTTGGTTCGCATACTTCGGGAGCACCGAGAAAACTTTCTTTTTCACATTTCAAAGGGTGGTTTCCCACCCTCGCCCCTTGGTCGGGCTCCTGTTCAAGCTTTATGGCCATCACTTCGGATGTAATAAATTGGGATACAAGCCAGAAAGAGAGTTCAGTCCTGAAGAGCATAGAATTAACGGACCTCCAGAAGTATATGCACCAAGATGGCGCACAACCTGAACATAGTAGTTGTACCAGGTTAGAGTTCAGGGTGTGTGCCATCTTCTCGGTGCATATACTTCGAGAGCACTGAATTAACAATAGATTTGCTATGGTTAGGTGCGCTAGTTCTAATTCCGTGTAGAAAAAAATATGTGTCGGGAGATTAGCCACATTTCGTACCTTATTACAGCGAAGAGCTACATCATCAATAAGGACACACATGAACACCAGATATACCTTCACATGTTGAAAGAACGTAGTTAGCAAGATATTTTCCCTTAGAATAAACAAGACGAAAAGAGCCGCGGTTTAACCACGCCTGGCCTATGGGAACACTTTTTTTTTCCTTCACAATTGTAATTTTCACTTAACATTTTGCTGTTATATTTCAATTCATTTCAAGTTTTATTATCATTTGCGACCCTATGGGAACACTTATCCGTCACGTTTGTCCGACAATCTTCCCAGCAAAATCTTTGGGGCACAAGTTTGTGGTCGCGAAACTTTATCAATTTTTGCGACCAAGTTAAAATTGAAACCATAGCAGGAACAGTACTTGTCTTACCTTCAAAATACGCCACTAGTTTAAAACGAGAAAACCGCCAAAAAATTGGGGCCCGTATAGGTATGCAACGCCCACAGATGCACTGCGTCAGACACTTTACAGACTAACGATTGAACACGTAGGCAGGCAGTTTATGTGTTCTTTTTATAGTCATTATGATCTTTGGTTGTATTAAGCCGTACACATTGGTTTTCAACCGCCCGTCCGCGGCGGTCCACGTCCTCCTTCTTGCCGGCCCGCCTGATATATTCCAATATTACATCTCAATTTCAAAATGCAAGGTATTGATGGCCTGCTAATTTATTTTGTGAGTTTGACCTCCTATTGATGCGTGCCTTAATTAGTTTTTTTTTACTTTTGGGTGAGCGAACACGTATTACTTCTTTTATCAATACCTTTCCATGTAAAATCTGTACGTTTCAAACCTTACTCGAGGTTTTGTTCGCTTTTCCGATTCTATAATCAGTTACTTTTATTTTCGTTTTTATCTATTATTTTATCGTCTATTGCTGATTATGGAGTCGAAATAAAGTTATAATCTATGCGCAATCCAAACTTGGTCAGACGGTAAGCCCTAAACAGCTGGATACCATCGTTAGAGATTTGGATATCGCTCAGTGACGAATCATTAAATTATTGCTGATTTTTTGTACAACTCACTCATGTGAGAAAAGCTTTTCGTTGTTATCTCTCATCGAGACAAAACAGAGAAGTTGCGAGGAAGTCAACGCTCTACTTTGCCTTGCAAAAACTTCTTTAGAATTGCGTTCAACACGCAAATTTCTCATTAAATTAAATTGTCTTTTTTGAATTGCATACTTTTGTCGTAATTACATTAGATACGTTTAATTGTATTTTGTGTTTTTGACATTTTGGGTTCATTTTCGAGGTTCATCGAAATTTTACCGGTAAACTTAAAAAGGTTGAGAATCACTGATCTAGTTAGTCTTTCGTCTATTTGGCTGTCATAATTCGGACGAACGGTCGGCTGGCAAGTTTCAATGCCTCCAAGACGCACTATATCTATGATCCGGCGATGTGGAATACGCTCGCCATTACATCTCTGATTACCTTGCGTGGGTTCACAGTTTCACGACGGGGATAATTGTGCGAGATGATTGCTGGACTCCTCGACGCCCTAGGGTGGGTTAGGTAACCGTTGGTCAGTTACGGCTTGCCCCACCACTAGGTCCATGCATCTGAAACAAATTACTGGCAAATTAATCCTATACCCGACATAGACTGGTAACCAGACGAGAAGACGTCGTTTCGGCTTTTCTCACTCCGGGATAAATAAATGTAAATCCTAATCCGTTATTGGTCACGGGGAATTAAACTACGATTTTCGAAAGAAAAATTAAATAAAAAAGGTGGATAAATAAATGGAATACCCGAACACCTTGCTTGTAGTTTCACAGGGGAACGGTGGCTGTGTACTTGGACAACTATATTTGTTGCAATCACCCAGCCAATCGCCGGTGAGGAGCCCAGAAATCATCGTGCTTGAGCAAATCAATTCAATTATAGCCCTGGCTATTTCAATTTAAAAAATTTTCACGATTTTAGGATAAATTTAAGATAGGATTTAGGATATTTAAATAAAATCAGAATGACGCAAAAAATGTACTTGATGAACAAATACGCTATACAGATCGCGCGGAGCTCTAGGGAAACAATTTTATTGGCTTGTCTCTCCCTCGGCGGTAATATGAAATTTTATCATAGCTTTATCATCATGTTCAATCCTAATTCTCATCGGTAAAATTACATTTTTAAAAATAACGTTCGAAATACTAACTCTTGCCATATTCATATGCGCTTTATAAAGAGTATAATATATATTGGAGGTGAACTTTTATTCATCGCAAAAAATATGTGGCTGTAACGTATAAAATGAATAAAAAACATGTTTTAATTCATTTTTTAATAATATATTCATCAATTTCTTAAAATAATAATTTTCAACGATATTATTTAATGAATATATCTGGCAAGTAAGAAACAACTTACCTAGTACGTCTTTGCAGCTGTCGGCCGGATTGCGCCCTGATTTACTAAAATTAATGTTTTGTGCGAGGCGATATATCTGAGCAGTTAAACGGTGGCAATGGAGGGCGTTAATGATCTAAATATATAGTTATTTTATGCGCAGATGAGGGAATATAGACTATAGGCATTCTTTGTACCATGACGATGTTAACTTTATTCAAAATAAATTGTCTCATGTTACAGTGTTCGCGGAAAGGATAGCGGTGTTGTAAGATTTTTGGGGGCTCCCGAAGTATGCGAACCAAGATGGCGAACATCGGAATGTAATATGTGTACTAGGTTAGGGTTAGGCCATAATTTTAGGTATAAATACTACAGGAGGCTCTTGGCTAGTCTTCGAACTGATAGGACTAAAATATGGAAAATTGGAAAAAAATTATCGCCTAACCCTAACCTGTTACCCATGTTACGTTCCGATGTCCGCCATCTTGGTTCGCATACTTCGGGAGCACCGATTTTTGATATTTATTCTGCACAAGGGAAGTTTGATAATGGCGGAATATCGGCTTTGTCATGCTTGCTTTTACAATCAGACAATCCTAATATTTTAATAGTTAATTTTCGTAACTTTTTGTCAGTGTGGCGCACCTCGCTAAGCCCGATTAAGCTCACCACCATCTTATTAAGCTCACCTCTATTTATCGGGTCTAGTACCGGTGTAGTTTAATACCACAAGTACTTCCAGTGGGTGTATCATAACGAATTATGCATATGTTATTCCAGTATTCTTAACTCCCACCTGACTATGCCAACCAAAAATTACGTCACAATGGCGTCATAGAGCTTGCCAAAGGATAGTTACGATCGCCCGAAATGACATATGCGCCAACGCTACCGAACTCAATGACTTCGGGGCACTGACGTTGGTGATCTCTCTCATATCAGAATCGCTGCGACGAAAAACGAGAGAAATAGCGTACCGGTACCCGATTTTTGGTGATGAAGTCAGGTGGGGGTTGGGAATGACATATGAAAAAATTTATGAGCCAGGCTAACTAGAAGTGCATGTGGTACTAAACTATACCAGACCCTGAATATTCTGCGTGGACTCGCAGGTTTGAATCTCATGCAGGTATGAATATGTACGAGAGGATTGTGCAGCGGTGTGGCTCATCGTGCTAAGCGTTAGGAATACGCTCGCCACCACACCTCTGATTACCCTGTTTGGGTTCGCAAGTTCGAGTCCCCTTGCGGGGATGGTTATGTGCGAGAGGATTGCAGGACTCCTCGCCACCGTAGAAGGGTTCACGTAACCGCTTGTCGGTTACGGCTTCCTCCACCATCAAGTCCATGGTTCTGAAAATAAACAACTGACTAATCCCATACCCGACAAGAAATGGTAACCGAACGAGAGGCCGTGGTACGCCATATGGTTAAGCCGTCGTACCAGTTTTCCTCTCCCCCAGGATGAATATGTAAATCCTATCCCACGTGTGTTTGTGCCTTATGTTTACTAACCTTGCATGCTCACTTCACCTGGCCCGCAAACCTAACCATATTTTATATTTCTAGTGCTTTACAACTTGTAATTAACATACTCTTAGATAAAGAAAATGTCTGATTCTGTGGCTTTGCAAACTTTGTCTGGCGAGACCCCTGAGGAGTCAAAAACCGATCACGGCGAAAATGAAATAAATCATAACGAACCACATGAGGGTGATGCAGTGGCAGTCTTAAATCTCGAAGATGATTCGTTCTTGACCGATAAAGTCGCAGACGTCCTTCTTTCAACGCTTGAAGCTCATGTGTTGGAAAGTGCCTCACGAGGTAGCACTCCTTCTGATGGGAATGCCCCCCGCGACTGTGATATGTCTTCTGGAAGTCCATCGCCAGTTCCAGATGACGCATTGGACATCCTACATCACCATCGACCAAAAATACAACTCGGCAGAGATATAAGTCTTATGATGCAAGCATTGAATAGTCTTCATAGTCCTGAGGAAAAAATTGCTGCTCTTTGCAAAAAATACGCGGATTTATTAGAACAGCAAAAAGTAAAAGATAAACGGCTGCGTGGATTGGAACGCCGATCTGGGCAAGTACTCAAAGAGAAAGAACAAATGCAAAAAGAGCTGAACAAAGCCGTACTTGGGAAATCGAAAATGGAAAGTCTGGCTCGAGAATTAAACAAACAAAATAAGTTACTGAAAGAGGAATCTTTTAATATGACATTGCGGCATAAGAAGGAGAGAGAACAAATGAGTGTGAAATTTCAAGCAACTACTGATGAGATTTCTGGTAAAATTAACTCAATTGCAGACCGGAACGAACTTCTGAATACCCAGAATCAAGAAATGGCCACAAATATCGCTAAATTAGTAAACGATACGACTGAGCGTGAAAAAGTTATCAAAGCTATGATGGAACAACGTGATCTGCAAGAAAATATCCTGAAATTAAAAGTCAAAAAGGCTGATGATGAGCGGGATATATATTCTCAACAACATGCTGTTCTTTCTGATGAAGTTGTAAAGTTGAAAACGCTTTGCGAGGGGTATAAAAACCAAGAAAAAATTTTGAAAACACAAATTACATACTACTCGGAAAAATTTGAAGATTTTCAATCCACTTTGGATAAAAGTAACGGAATATTCGAGTCGTTCCGCTCTGAAATGGATCGTATGAATAAAAAGATGAAAGACCTCGAAAAAGCTACAGCGACTTGGAAAAAAAATTACGAGCAGTCAGAGGCAGAAAATAAAAGAATTTTGTCGATAAATTTTGAGCAAAATAAAGCAATTGAGAAGCTTAAAATAAAACTAGCTCGTTTGACAAACTTAAGCCGAGCGTTACAAGCGGAACGAAATGAACTTGCCAAAAATGCTCGACTGACGAAAAAACCAACTGACACTGTAACCGCTGAAGCGACAAGTACAGTCAGTGAACCACAACCAGAAAACAACAATCGTACTCCAAATATGGGTGACGCTATTGAAGAACCAACCAGTACTACTAGGGATGGTGAAACGTCTCAAACTCAAGACACGTCAACTAATCATTCAATGAACAGATCTGAGGTTCAAGAAAGCGTCACAAATTCAACAGAAAACAGCGAACAAACGTCCGAACTAAATAATCCAACAGAAATTCCAGGAGGTGATACAGCACCACTAAGTGAGGAGGAAACTTCCCACATACCTGCGTCATCTGAGGAAACTGTAACATTAGCTGTTGCAGATAGCACTGTAGCAATGAATAAACAAGCTGCGGCCTCGGTGGATGACATCAAAGATGTTATTCCCTCTTCTAGCACAGAGGTCCCAACCCCTGAAACTTCAAGTGATCAAAGCCCGGAATCTAGCATTTCTAAAACATCCGACGAAGCAGAAAAACTGTCAGAATCAAACGAAAACGGTACAACGACAACCCATCCAGAAACATCTGATGATAATGTAACTTCATAAGTCCTCAAAATACGAAACAAAATCTCAAAACTCACTCGAGCTTCGTACTTTCAAGAAAATCAAGTTTTTGATAACAAACTCTCTGGCATATGCAAGACTTCTTTAGCAGACTATTTCAAATGCTCAGTGAAGTTAATTTTTTTTAGTTTGTGTAGAATATTTCGACTTTAACAATTAAAAGTCCTGGAATTTCAACTTGAATTCCAATTTACCCATTCTGGGCTATTCGAAATTACTATTTCTTCAATAACATGCCAAACTCTGACACTTTAATCGGGGCCGTATTCAAAGGGGGGGGGGGTTGTTGCGGACCTCCCCTCTTTTGAAAAAAAAAAGATAAATAAAAATTCGTAGCTTGGAACGCTTTTTAGACCCTTAAACTATTATAAACCGAGATTTTTCGGCCTCCAGTCAAACGGACCGCTTTCTCTTACAGTTTAATTGTCAATTAGAACTTTTGGAACCACGGATGTAACATATCATAGGATTTGCATGGAATTTTTCTGAATAAAATTTATGGATTGATTTTGACTTGTCATTTATATTTGGAGTCCTTAACGTTTAGAGCAGTGGTTTTCAACTTTCTTGGTGGAGCATAACCCCTATCCAAGAACTGTATGAGCTTTGCTTCCTTGTGGGGATAGTTATGTGCGTGGGAATGCTGGATTCCTCGCCGCTGTAGGGTGGTTCATGTGAACACTGGTCGGTTACGGCTTCCTCCACCACCAAGTTCTATGCTTCTGAAAACAAATGACTGGCTAACTATACCTGACTTGAACTGAGAGGCTGTGGTTTGCGATATAATTAACATCTTATCGTCTTCTCTTTGGGATAAATATTTAAATCCCACTCTTTCAATATATATAAAAGCACACTGGCAAAACAAGATGATCTTTAAAATGCATAAAACGGCCGAATTAGAATGTAAACTCAGGTAGTTGAACCCCTGGACTGTACCAGCAGTTGAAAAAAACTAGGTTGAGCGGGCATTAGACCCAGCTACGTTTGGAGATAAAGATCTGATTTCAACTCCGGACTCACCCACCAAGGGTATGATAGAATTGGGGAGAGAAAGATTCTTGCCCTTTAAAAATATAACCCTGTTTGGAGTGGAAGCAGGGGCGCAGCCAGAGGTTGGGTTTTGAGAGTCGGACCCTCCGCCTTTTTTTGAAATGCAAAAAAAAGCATTCTTCTGCATCATACATAGCAATACACTGTTTAGACCCTCGATCTTCCTGAAAACCCACGATTTCTGACAGGACCCGCTGCCTGTTATTGTCAAACTTGGCAATTAGAAATTTCAGAAACCCCCCTTTAAAAATTCCTGGCTTCGCCCCTGGATGGAAGTGCTCTAAAAGAATTAATTGTAATCCTCCCAACACTTTAACAGAAACCTGTCAATACTGGAATTAGGTTTTTACAAAAACCATCCAAACTGCGCAAGGAGGGTGTTATGTCAAAAAGTTTTTTCTGTACATGTAAGCTTTCGAAGAACAATCTAATTCCAAGCTCCCAATGAACTGATCTAATAAATGACATGAATTTTATTTCGCACGTTTAATAATTGACAAGCCAAAAAAATAATAAAACAAATCGAAGAATATAAAAAACGCATATCCAAAAAGATAAGTCGAAAAAATAAACCATCAATATGGCAATTCACGACCTCGCATACAGTGTGTTGCGGTCCATGTAAATTATAAAAAATAGGGGGGTGCTCCCGAAGTATGCGAACCAAGATGGCGGACATCGGAACGTAACATGGGTAACAGGTTAGGGTTAGGCGATAATTTTTTTCCAATTTTCCTTATTTTAGTCTTATTATCAGTTCGAAGACTAGCCAAGAGCCTCCCGTAGTATTTATACCTAAAATTATGGCCTAACCCTAACCTGGTAAACATATTACATTCCGATGTCCGCCATCTTGGTTCGCATACTTCGGGAGCCCCAATAGGGGTACTCTCGAAGTATGTGTACCAGGTTAGGACATACTTTTATTCTAATTCTCCTTATTTTAGTTCGATTCCGAGTTCGGGGACTGTTTGTGTTAGCCAAGTGAATATACCCCCTGCCCATTGGTCAGTCCCTTCATAAAACTTGGTGTAAGATGGGCGAACCAAAATTAGTTACCTCCATATTGGTACACATACTTCTGGAGCGCCGAAATGCGCGTGCAATTATTTGCGCTACATGATGGGGGAAGAGGGCGTAACCTACCAGTACATGAAACGGCATCATTTATCAAATCAGAAAACTGACTCTGATGACCCCAAAAGGTTGTATTGTTGAACCCACGTACATTTGAACCCATGTGTATATCTGCGTGTTCAATCTATATGCGACTGCTAAAACCCATGGGTTAGGGTTAGTATGGGTAAAATATTCGTAAAACATAAAAATTTCCATAGGTGCCATAGTCATGGGTTCAAATGCAATGGAACCTTGGCACCCATTTACACCGAAAGCAGGTGTTTGTTCATTATTTATTTATGTATTTATATATGTTTTTCTTGGTTTGTCAAATGTACCGATCTCTCTCCCTCTTGCACAGTTAATTACCTGTCCTTGTCAGGTATGGGAAAGGATGGGCAGCCATTTTTTTCAGATTCACGGACTTGAGGGTTACATGAATCACTACATGGCAGTGCGAAGTCCAGCGATTCTCTTGTCACACTCAGTTCCCTTTTTTTATTTCCGATGTTTAGAGAAGTGGTTCCTAACGTTTTTATGGCTCGTTCCTGCCGGAAATTGGCATTACAGTACTATTTATAGCAGAGTGGTCCAAACCAGGCCATCGGGCCACATGTGGCCCGCAGCTTCATTATTTGTGGCTCGCGTAACATTCGGAGAATAATCAAAAAAACGTATTTGGTGTTGTTTCGCCATAGAATTAACCAGAATCACTTCACTAATGTCACTAAATTGACTATAGCTGAGGCAACTAGCGAAGTTGAATGATAGTGTTTGTTTTGTATTGCACTGTTTACTTATTCTTGACACTATTGTGGCCCGCGAACGATGTAAATATAATTTTGTGGCCCTCGGAGCCGAGAACCTTGGACCACCCTGATTTATAGTGTTATTCTAAATTTTAGATTCCCATTACGTTCAATCAATTCCCAACAAAGTGAAAACATCCTGTGAAATAACTTAATGAAGAATTGAAACTAGGGAGGCAGAAGTTTTTAAAGACAAAAGTAAAATCAGTTTTGCAACTAGCATTGTGTCCCCCTCCAACTGCTCTGTGGCCCCCTTGGTGGGCCACGGACCCCCAGTTGCGAAGATCTGATATACAGGATGTCTTGCATTGTTCGCTCAGTCACTTTAGCTTTCTTTTCTGATCTCTCGATTTTGGGATTGACGATGGAGTCGGTTTATTTGTCGGAGGAACCAGCCCTGGACTCAGGTTGTGGTAGACGATGTTTTGGTCTGAGGAAACCTGAAAAGTAGATAAAAGTATGTGAGATGTTGGGGAGGGGGAATCCCAAGTTGGACTCGCTTTGATCAAAGACTCTAAGCCAGGGTTACCCAATCTTTTGATGGTATGGAGCCAATAAAGAGTTTGACTATTATTTACGCAGCCCTACAATATATTTATAAAAATTATCTATTGGAACTTATAGACAATGTCATATTTGAATTACCCCCTTGTTGCCACATTTCATTGTTGTCAATTCTTATTAATGCCATTATTGCTTCTTCGAACATTCGAAAAATTAGCAAGTCAGTATTTTAATATGTAAACGAATACCTCACGAAGGCCCTAGGTTTCTCTCTCGACGCTCTAAGTCAGGGCTTCCCAAACTGGAGGGGCACGCAATGAATTTTTGGGGTCGCAAGGAGTATGAATTTCACACAAATTCCGGCCTCCGGTAGTATTTATACCTAAAATTATGGCCTAACCCTAACCTAGTTCACATATTACATTCCGATGTCCGCCATCTTGATTCGCATACTTCGGGAGCCCCGAAAGTACTATATAAATCTATTTTACTTTTTTAGACATCGAAATTCGAAACACAATTATTAAAACTAGTGAAAAACATAAATCTAACAATTTTAAGAGAATAAATAGAATCAAAGAAGCAGTGCGCCTGCATAACAGTGCCAACTTAATTTCAATATATTGGAATTCGTGAGTTTGAAAGGTCGGGAAGCTCTAAGTGACCTGGCCCAGAAATGTACCAAACTAACCACAAGTTGGTGTTAAGAATCCTAACATGACTCACTTAGTTGGGCCCAATAGTGTTGGTATACCCCGGGTACAAATCCTGTGCCCCCTTACCCTGGGTGTAATAAATTGGGTAAGCGATGTCAAATCGGAAAATTTCGAACTTTTTGAATATCGTTTCAGTAGCTGCTTGTATAGGGCGTTGTTCAGAATAAATTGCACATAAAAATGCGCTTCAGAAGTATGTGTACCAATATGGAGGTAACTGATTTTGTTCGCCTATTTTACAACAAATTATGTAAAGGGAACTGAAACCTATGGGCAGGGGGTATATTTATTTGGCTAACACAGACAGTCCCCGCACTTGTAACAGAACTAAAATAAGGTAAATCGGAATAAAATTATAGCCTAACCCTAACCTGGTACACATACTACGGGAGCAACGATGAAAATTGTGTTAGAAAAGTAGTCTCACCAGGGCGAGAATCAATCCATCGTCATATAAGTCAGGATCTCCAGGAGGCTGAATAGTATGGAACACAGACAACATGCTGAAATAATATAAATAAGAAAGCGATGCTCAAATACAAAAAAAAATTTCATATGAAAATGGACGGACTCTAGCCAAGTACAACAAGGAAGCAATACTGGAATATAATGAAACGAAAGACGAATACCTAATATAGTCACCGCAGTAGGGAGTGATAGTCGGCCCTAAATGGGCTCATTCTTAGTACTGAATGTACTCAAACTCAAAGCGCAGTAAGGCCTTCATGCAAAAGTGTAAAGAGTAGTGGTTGATGAGATGCAAGAGGCTCGGTCGCGTGGCCATCATGCTGCGCGTTAAGACTACACTTGCCATCGCGCCTCTGAACCGTGTGGGTTCGAATCCTTTAGGTGATAATTATGTGTCAGAAGATTGCTGGACTCATTGCCGTAGGGTGGCTCACGCACCGCTGGCTATTGACAGCTTTCTCCACCATCAAGTCCATGTATTCGAAACAAATAACTGGCCAATCCCATACCCAACATAGATGGGTAACCGGACGAGAGGCCGTGGTTCGCCATATGCTTAAGCCATCTTATCACTTTTCCTCTCCCCTGGGATAAATATGTAAACCCTATCCTACTACTGATGTACTGAAAGACTGTATGTTGTTCCAACTTGTCCAAATTTTACGAATCTCACTTCATACAAATAGCCTTCTGCCAGAGTATTATATCTATGGCAACTCAGAATACAGCACAAATTTCACTTTATATGCCAAGTGGTAAAGAGCAAATTTTTGGTTTGATCTTTGGCAAAGTTTCGAATACCTATACAGACAAGTTTGCAAGGGCAATGAAACGAAAATAATTTTATTCCAATTTATCTTATTTTAGTTTTATTACAAGTTCGGGGACTAGCCAAGTGACTCCCGTAGTAATTGTACCTGAAATTATGGCCTAACCTTAAACTGGTACACATACTACGGGAGTACCTATATTTGAATATTTTATACTCGGTTAAAAGACAATATTGAATAACTAAATGCTTTATGCCGTTATTCCTGTTTCTTATCCTTATCTTTACTCAGAATTAACTATAATCTATTTCGCATAGTGTCCGCACCAAGTAACAATCTGCAACTTAGCAGCTAAAAGTTTTTACTCACTCTTCTGGTGACATTTCTTCCTCTGAGAACATTGGCAGAATCACACGGTTGAGTGATTCTTCAGCAAATTTTACAACTAAGTAAGGTCGCTTGAGATTCTCGTCAAAATATAATTCAACTTCGTGCCATCTCTGAAATGAAAAAATTCATTTCAATTCTCTATCTTTTGCAGGTTAAATTTTATTTTAAAATAATCATCCATGTATTTAATAAAGCTTTTCCTGATGAAAACTTGGTTATGTCAAAATTGGAAGCTGAAGTCCTGGTCAAATGTTTCAGCCCAGAGTCTGTATTTTCAATGGCTTAGAGCAGGGCTACTCAGCTTGCAGACCGCGGTCCGAATTCGGACCTTTCGTGTATACGATTTGGACCGCACCTAATTTTTTGTTTGGATCATTAGCCCCACTTTTGAAGTTTCCTTTCGAAAAATCACTTTTATAGATTTGAATATATATGAAAAGTACTATAACGCCATAATAAACAATCTTGATTAGCTAATAATCATTAGTCGGCCAAGGAAGTTTAAGGATGCCGAAATATAATTTCTGTAAAGCCCAGACCCAAATATTTTTAAAAGTTTTGCATGTGGATCTTCGATAAAAATTGTTAAGTAGCTGTGACTTAGAGTCAGAGATGTGTAAAAAATGAAATATTCCATTTCTCTTTTTCATAAACACACTCCAGTCCAGAAGTAAATTATAATTGATAAAACCTATATAGGTAGTCTACGCTCCCGAGACTTGTGTATATGCTGTGTACGAGCTATCATCCTGGTATGGGCAAATGTAGTCAGTAGTTTATTTTTCACTAAAACAAAAATGCACTCGATGCGAACAAAAGCTAGTAAAAAAAACATGAAAATGGGATTTCACAGTAAAGGGTGACACGAAAAAAACAATGTTGCTTATCGAGTAGCGACACCCATGATAAAAGTCAAATTTGATACAGGTTGAATAAAAAGTCGAACAATATATATATTATTAGAAAAAATTCTCCAGTATCCAAATCTGTTACCAAAAAACAAAAACTCCGGGCACTGGTGAGGTAACTACTGGTAACAGCATAGCAGCGCACGTCAGACTGAGTACTGTCAGCGTAAAGAGCTATTTAAGAACATTGTTTCGATTGCTTTTTAAGGTGCGTGTTCTGGTACAAGGTAACTTATCCTTAATATTGAAGATGAATAAAATGGGATAAAACATAGGTGTGTGAATAAATAATTGAGAAATATTATTTTGCAGAAAATCGATGACCCCTGACCTTTTTCTCTTTCAGATTACAATATGTTGCAATGGCTGCATGGTTGAGGCTGTCATTACATTTCCCATCACCTTTTGACTTCAGCCATATAAGCTGAAATATAAACCGTTTAGGTAAAAAATAAGATTTTCGCATAGATTTTGGTAATCTTATGAATAAATAAACAGCCTCCTGTCCGGTTCAATCAAGTTTGCCTCAGCGATGTGATATGTGCATTGCCAACACTTAGCATGATGCGCCACAACCGTCAAGCCAATTCAGGCGCTTGTTACGTCTGTAAGTGAGACAATATTAAAGAGACATTTTAAAACACAAAAAATTGTACCTTCGGATGTTCCATCCATTCGTTAATCCTCTGATACAACTTTGAAAAAGGCAGAATCAGAAGCTTTAATATGAATTTCTGAATCATGGAAAGATGTCACACATGAGGAAAGCTGGGGGGAAATCCCTCATTTATCAACAACCAATCAAAAAGTAGGCGTGTCTAAACCACTCATGCAGAAATTATTGTTTATTTTGACAACATAAATAATTTTTGAAATCCATTCTATTCGCATTCTTGAATTTCTGAACCAAAAATCATTGCACATGTTTCATATTAATGAAAATTTAATAATAAAGATCAAATGTCTTCCGGTGCATACGTGGCGGCGGTAATTGCCGTACTTTTTGCAAATAAAAATGACCTATGTTCGTTTTTTTACGTTTTACCACGGTAACGGTGCTTCGTTTGCCTGCGGCGCCGGCTTTGTAAGACTTGTTTTACTCGCTTGCGGTGAGCAGAATAGTGAGCAATGGGGGGTTATATCAGTCTGAAAATACGCAATGTAGATACAGAAAGAAGCAAAATGACAATTTAGTAAGAATGGAGACGCGATAAACAGGTGTCACGTAAAGTCTACGTGGTACGTCAGTACGTGGGTGATAAAGCATATTTAGCGGGCGACAAAAAAAGCAAACAAAACCAATATCGCGACACTCGTGATTTACCTATTAATTCATTTTGCGCGTCCCTTGGATTGCGAAATACGGTACCGGTACATATTTGTCGAGACAGCGTTATTGAATCTTTCGAAATTGCGGTTATGATAACTTTTTGCGTACCCTCATGAACCGGCGTATGAGAGAAAGGGAAATGTGCCGATATTTCAGTATTGACAGATTGAGTTTACAATATCTTTACAGAAAATGGAATAATTAAACATCCGAACGGAAGTTGTGGTATAAAAAACTTGAACTGTTTTCATTTTGTTGTGTAATTGCTGTTTTTTATGTTCAGTTATCACATGCAATTTACAGATTTATGGGAATTTTACAAAAATTATAGTCAAATTAGAATTTCTGCAATTAGAAATAGAATGGTTTGTAGTTGTGTTGAACACAGTCAATGCAACATGCATTAGTTTGGATTTCTGCCCATTGACAAATCACCCTTGCCTACTATGTCTCTTTAACTAATATCCTGAAATGAAACGAATAGATTTCTCCCAAAGTGATTTAATCCAGATATGAGTAAGACAAAGTGACCTGACAAACAATAAAGATGAATATTAAAATGAGTACAGACAATCAGGCACAATACAAAGCAAGAATATACCAATTCACTTACATTTAAATGAGGTTTTGTCAGAACAGATTATCCCAATGTGAGAAACTTAAGAAATAGATTATTCATACCCAATGACTATAGCACCAGTAACAAGCTTTTGAGAACAGATCTAAAGACAGACTAAAGCTCCTACAAAAGCGAGGTGTCCAGCAATCGCAATCTGCTCCGACATGATTATTCCTCACAATATTCGAACATGTGCATTATATCCGAAGTGTGATAACAACCTTGTCCCGATTGTACTGGTAAATTGGGAAGTTTTCTTTTCCCTTTTGTTGTGATGACAAATAAATGATTGACTGACTGAGATAGATTTGAAAATACTAGACCCATTATTATATAATAATGTATTCTATCATCTATTCAGTTATTGTATCATAGTAGTGTTAAATATGCTTAGAAAGAAAACCTGTGATAGTAGTATGGGGACTTCTGATTGGTCAACATATAAAGAAAACTTTTGTGATTTATTGGAACGTCAACACGAGACACCGAAACGAAAAAGACGTTTCTTGCGTCGTAAAAATGTTACTCTTTCAAGCATATCCCAAGAAATAGACTCTTCATCTTGCAGCGGGGATGAGAGCTGCAACGTAACCAATGGCGACGCTTTTCAGCCTTTGTCAGAAGATATGTTTTCAAGTCCTGTTATGCATAGGATGTCTCCGAGCAATCATATAAAAAGCACTCCTTCAGGAAGCCCAATTTTGCTTAAAAGTGGTCAAAAAACACGGACTAATTCACTAATCCCCTTGAGTCCCATCACCCCTGGTTTAAAATGGGACAAGTCTCTAGATAGGAGCGTTTTTTCTGTTCACGTTCAAGATTCGTGTCACGAGAATTTTAAGACGCATGAACAGACGTTGTTAGCAATGCCGCTGGAGTTTAGCGACGATGATGAAATAAATGATGAATTCACTCAAGCGGAAAGTACGTTTGTCAATAGCGACATTGCCAATAACAACGAAAAGTTAACACAAGACGATGAAATTGAGATTCATGAGCCAGATTCTCAAGTAATGAATTTCGAATCACCTGCAAAAGAGCTTGACACAACCGGTTCAAAATGGTTGAAAATAATAAAAGAAAAAATTGATGAAGAGTGGCAGCAAAAAACTGCAAAATTTGTTGAAAATAGCAGTTTTTTGAATCAAAACACATCTTATTTTGACTCTGGAAAAAAGGGAAAATTTGTAAAAGGTGGGCTAGCAGAGCAGTTGACTCGTGTTTTGAAAAAGGAAAATTCACAGAAATCGACTTTCCATCAAAAAATCAAAGCAGGAAAAATCGTGAATCAAAAATCTCCAAGTTTGCTGTTAAAAGTTATTTCAATACAAAAAGAGGGAATCTTGCACATTTTTGAATGCAAAGAAGATGCTTCTAATCAGACAGGAACAGGATACTTTACGTTAATTCTCCCGGATGAATTTGTTTCGGATTTAAAAATAAACTTGGGATCAAATTTGAAAATTTTTTCACCATATTACTCTGTTGAAGTAGACAAATCCTTGCCGATTGTTATACTTAGTGCATATTGTGTTGTCACAGAAGAAAATTTTGCATGTTTATCAACGTCTTCAGAAAAAGTTTCACAAAATTCACAATCACAAGAAATATCAAATAAGAAAAATTGCGAAAGTTTATTAAAATGTCTTGAAGCTCAAAGCTCCATTGAAGACGGCATAACTATTGTTACTACAATTCTTAGGATATTTCGCCGAAATACAAACAGCCCACGAAGACTGAGTTATCTTTGCAGTGATGCTTATGGGACATTTTTTGTTGTGGACATTGGAGCTGATTTCAATGATTCTGAAGCATTAGAACTTGTAGAAAACTGTGAAGGCCAGCGTGTCGTTTTTGATAATTTGATGTCTAGTGGTCGCATGACGAAATCCCAATTCCCTGCGCTATTTAGCGTCGTTGATTCGATATGGACCAGCGACGGCAGAGGACTCGTTCATGTCAATAGCAGCCAAGAATCAGGGAGTACAACACAAGATAGTGTGCATCTACTTCCACCTAGTTATTGTTATTTTCTTCTTGCTGGAAAATCTAGCAAATTAGTTATGCCCAGAATTGACGCAAAAAGGATATGTGAAAACAGAATGTGTCAGAAATACAATATCCCTTCAGTAAAAAGCCAGTTAAATCGGCCGACTAATGGAATTCCTGCACCTCATGACGTTCTATACAAACATTCTAAGATTCTCTCTTTAGCAGAAATTAAGCTTTATTCTACGGAGCGACACGCTCGTTTTTCAACTATTGTGAAATATATAGGCATCGAATCAAATACTTGTCATAGTCAAGATTTGTATTGTAATGAGCATCCTAATGATGTCATAATGTGTGTTTCAGAAAGTTCTGGGAATTCCCCTCCCACAAATTTAAATATTGTTGTTAAAATGCCCTGCTACATACCCGAAAAACTTAACCCTGGTTGTGATGTCATATTCAAAGATTTATATTTTAATGATGATGTCATAATTGCAGATTCATGCAGTAGAATTGTTGTTTTCAATTGTAATTGTGACATACATAATGTACTTTGTCAAGATGTGCCAGACAGCATATTATCAAAGATCTGTCTTTAATTTTTTTTATACAATGCTTATTTCTTTCCCAATGTCGTGGCCCTGTACTGAAGGCTTTAAGCATTCATGGCCCCTTGTTTATTATTCCAGAGATATTTATGGTGTTATTTTGATTGGTGGATTCCAAATCCCATTATGTTCAAACAATTCATGCACAACAAAGTGAAAACATGCTGTAAAATAACCTTATCAAGCAATGAAACTAGATAGTTTTCTTGTGAAGTGAAAAGTAAAATCAGTTTTTCCCCTAACATCGTGGCCCCCCTTTTGTGCCCAACTGCTTTGTGTGGCCCCTTTGAGATTAGGAAGTGGGCGTAAGGCAATTGGCCATCGGGTGTTAGTGCTAACTTTTTCAATCATATTGATTTTGGTTAATTAATCACCTAGCTGATTGATTGACCAAATTAATTTTCTTTAGTATTGTGCGAGATATTGATCTTAAGCTGGTTTAATGAATTAAAATTGTATCATTTGTATTCTCACTTCAGTCGTTTTTAAACTGCTACGGTGCTCGTAGTGAAAGGAATGAGTGAACCTCATAATATCAATTAGAATTTAATATTTGGCTCTGGCTGCAAATACTGTTTTGATAAAAATTCTCTATCTTATTCAGAAGCTGAGAAGCTGAACTAAGGCAGTCGTTCCCAAACCGCGCACGCCAAACTTGAGTGAAATAGTGTAAAACCCTATATTTTTGCGTTCTAGATACGGGCAATTCTTACGTCATTATCGCTGTTTAAGCATGTGTATATTCGTTACAAATCAATTATACCGGTAGCTCAATTATACATACCGGTATAGGCCTCTTGCGGGCGCCTTTCTATCACGGCCTGTGAATATCCTTCTGGTTTGAGTTTTGGCCCCAATTAAGCAACTTTGGGCATTACTGAACTAATGTAGCAATACTCGTTTGACTGAGATGTTGCTAGTGGCAAATTTTAACTAAAATAGATTGTAAATTGGCCATGCGAATATCACCAAATGTATGTGTTCGATACCCATTAAAGCTCTTTTGTTGCCAAGTTTTAAATGAAGTTCTTTACCTATTGGTATATTTAAAGTTATTGTTTCATTTTTATTACTAATTGCAAGACTTTTCAACCTTTTTATTTTCGTTATTTGATTTTTCAAAAAATTTTTACTTTTTCAGTTTTTTTAAAATATATGTATATATATTGATGAATTCATATAAAAAAAATAGAAAATATATATTCTCGTTTATTCTAAAAATCCAAAATCATGTCGGATAATAATAGACGTCCGTGTTTATGGAATGCAATGTCTCCGACAGCCAGGCTTGCTGGACTTCATGGTCACACAACCAATCGAAGATTTGCTGCCTTAGCTGCCGGGAAAAATCAGCCAAAAAACCCTGTGAAAGCTGTCCTAGCTGGTTTGTACTTTTTCATTTTATGGTTTTACTTTTATAGTAGTGGTTTCGAAACTGGATTTCACATCCCCCAAGGGCAGGGCTACTCAACTATTTTCACCGGTGATCCGTATACAAAACTTCAAAATTATTGGGGTCCGGTGTTTCCAGAAATTGTATTTTGACATCCATGTTCTGTTAGATCAGGGTGGTCCAAACCCTTAGTTGGCTATGCCTGATAAATTAATATTATGACCGAAAATATAATGCCTGTCGGATGGTTTTTTGCAACCAGCCTAAACAGTATTACAAAAAATGCTGCTCATATTATGTCAGACAATTTAGTAATTACTAATTACACTTCTGTATCTCAAATTCTAAATCGGCATTTTCTCTTTATGGCACTTTTTCCGTTTTGAAGAGTTTGAAAGCTTACACTACATGTAGGATATATATAGTAAGATTTTTGCACGTTTTATTGAGTTTTTTGGTGGTTCTTTCATGTTTTAGCTTGGTAAAAGACAAATAATGATAATGTGCTTGAACAATAAAAAGTGTTTGTTTTGTATCACAATGTTTGCCTATTCTTGGCACTATTGTGGCCCGCAAGAAATGCAAAAATAATTTTGTGGCCTGCGAGGCCGACAACCTTGGACCACCCTAATCAAGATTGTTTTTTATGCTGTTATAGTTTTTTTCATACATACAAAACAATAAGAGTCATTTCATAAAATGAAACTTTAAAAGTGGGGCTAATGATCCAACATGAAGAATTAGGTGCGGTTCGAATCAAATACTCGAAAGGTCCAGATCCGAACCGCGGTCCGCCAGTTGAGTAGCCCTGCCCTAGGGCACTATTTTCTAACCTATGGGTCGCCTGTAAATTCTCTTAGGTCAAGAATATTAATCTTTGTTTCCATTATAGCTATAGGTATGTCTAATATTCCAACCATTAAACCAGGGGTGGGCAACATTTTCGTCGGTGGGCCATATAACCAACTTCAGACATCTGACTGGGAAATTGGGTTTTTCATGTAGGCTACATAACGAGTTTTAAAATTGTACTCCCTAAATACATTAGCAATAACAGGAGGGTCACAAAAGCAAAGAGAATGCGACTATCGTTGTAATGAAGGCAACGGCCAAAGCGGCGAAAGATTTAATGCAGCGAGCAAAAACATGTATTTATACCCATTTGTGCGCCTTTTTAAACACAAATTGTCGAAATAGGATTTTGTACTTGATGGGAGAAAATTGTGAGTGTTGACAAGGGCCTCACTAAATGGCTTGGCGGGCTGAGTGTGGCCACCTGTTGCACACCCCAGGATTAAGTCACGAACCCACTAAATTTTACGTATATACTTTATCTTCAGGTGGAATCGCTGGCGGTATTGAAATCTGTATTACATTTCCAACTGAATATGTTAAAACGCAGCTACAGCTCGCAGAAGGGATGCACTCACCCAAATATAAGGGTAAGGATTTAATCATAGATGCTCAAAACTAATTTCAAAATTATTTATGTTTGGTATTTTAATTCAGGGATAATTATTATAAAAGTATTACTTGAATTATTTCTCATTTTGAACAATTTAAGTCTGTCTTTCCCAGTGGTTTTCAGCCTTTTCCTTTTTGTAGCCCATTTTCGTTGCACAAAAATTCCATGGCTCATTAACTTTTTCATGCAAGAAAAGAAACTAAGAAAAATAAAAATCGATGTCAAAAAATATAGACGTTTTCAATTGAATAATCAGTATAAAAGTTGTCACTTAGTAGCAAAAACGCATCATCATTTATTGCCACTACAATCAAAGTTAAATAATTTCGTAAAATGATAATAATTATTTTTAATTAGCTTCTCGTCCTCTCAAAAAGTTGTCTACGCCTCCCTGTGTATGTTTGAAGCCACTGGTTTAGAGCTTTTTTACAAAATTGCTTTTTTTTTGTAGGAATAATGGACTGTGTCCGAGTTACTGTGAAGAGCCATGGAGTTCTAGGACTGTACCGAGGTTTGAGTTCTTTAGTCTATGGTTCAATCCCCAAAGCAGCCGTCAGGTAAGTTTAATTTAGGATTTCGAATGGGTGGGGATGGGCAATGCGTGATATTCTCAGAGTATTCGGTACTGGGAATCAGGTTATTTTGAAATTTGTAATGCACTTATTGAGTGAACGTTAAACGGTATCTATCACAGGACATGAACATTTTTTGCATTATTTTTTGTTTTGTAATTGAATATTATCTGATCAAACTGAGGCTTGATAGAAGAAAAGCGCACATGCAATGCAGCATTGACACCCACCATATTGTGCTTTTGGCTCAAAGTCATTTACCGCCTTAATGAAAGGCATCAATTTTCTTACCACAGCCTTCCTACGACCTCACTTTTTGTGACTCACTGGTTGGGAATCTGACTTAGTGTATCGGTCTTGTCTTCAATGCCTCTGCGATTAGTCTACGACTACTAGATAATTGCATCCAGGAAATTAAATAGTTTTTGTTTAATATATTCAGGTTTGGTGTGTTTGAGTATTTATCAAACTTCCGACGAGATTCCAACGGAACATTGACATCCATGGACGGACTTTTGTGTGGTCTCGGAGCTGGACTGGCCGAAGCAGTTCTTGTTGTCTGCCCCATGGAAACCGTTAAGGTAAAAGAAATTTGTATCATTTAGTCCAGGAAACTTAACCTCGACTTTCAACCTTCAGTTGCTAAATTTTTGGCTCCGACTTAGGTACTCCCGAAGTATGTGAACCAAGCTGGCGAACACCGAACGTAGTATGTGTACCAGGTTAGGCCATAGTTTTAGGTACAAATACTACGGGAGTCACTTGGCTAGTCCCCGAACTCGTAATAGAACTGAAGTAAGGAAATTTGGAATAAAATTATGGCCTAACCCCAACCTGGTACACATACTACGTTCCGGTGTCCGCCATCTTGGTTCACATACTTCAGGAGTACCCTGACCTAGACTTCGGCTTGCTTATCTTTAAGAAATGTTACTGACTATGTAGATATATTGTAGTGCATTACGGTCACTCAAAGGTGAAGAAAACTCATCTGAGTAAAGTTATGGGCAGCTACTGAAGTGGTAACTACTAAAACTATATCAGGTATTGGAGGTTGAATTACAGGCCAGCGAATGGCTCCAGGCATTAGGATCAGTATAAGCAGGTGTTTCTCAATCTTTTTTTTTTTTGGTGGCCCGCTTTGGTTGCACAAAAATTCTGAGACCCATTACCTTTTATAGGCAAGGAAAAAACAACATGGAAAACAAAAAATTCTTTCCTAAAAGATAGCCACTTCCACTTCAATATTTCTGAATGTAAATTATTACACAGTAGCAAAAAATAACATCATTCATTGCCACTACAATCAAAATTCCAGGGATGTCTGATACAAATCGATTAAGCCAAATTCATTTTATTCGATACAGAAATCTTTGAATTTAGAAATAATTTAGAACATTTTTAATAAAAATCAGCTGTCAGACATAAACTTACGATATTTCAACTGATAACAACACAGAGAAAACCTTTATGTTTATGTAGTTTTAGATATGATCAACACGAAGATACAGTTATTTATGTGATATTCCAATTTAGAATGTATTCGATATTTCATATTCAAAAATATTTTCTTAGAAAGTATTTGGAATAGTGAATATTCTGTTTTGGCCAACCCTGCTTCGTGGTACTCACCAGTGTTTCTAACAATCTATGAATGGGGACACAAACATACTTGGGTGTCGGATTACTAATTGACATTTCCTAAACATGAATGTAATTGTTTGAGAACTGGATGGTGCAATCGTTTATAACTAACTTTTGTGTAAGTGCAGTGGTTTTTGAACTTTCATGATCTGTGGGTCCTTTCCAGAAACTTCCAGCACTACATGGCCCTCTGCTTTTAAATGAAAATAACCTGGGGTGTAGCCAGGGATTCGCAAGAGGGTTGGCGGGTCTGAAATTTCTATTTGCCAAGTTAGACTCTGAAAGCTCACATGGATTTTCAAGATTCTTGATGGGTCTGAAGGCATTTCATGCTTCCAAATATTGATATAGACCAGCGGTTCTCAACCTTTTTTCTTTCGTGGCCCATTTTCGTTGCACAAAAATTCTGCGGCCCACTAACTTTTTCATGTTGGGGAAAAACTTCAAGAAAAACATAGAATTCTTTCTGCAAAAATAGGCACTTTCACTTTATGGATAATTAGGTGAAAATTACAGCCCTGTAACAAAAAACTGCATCATCCATTGCTATTACGAATCGAATATTCGAATGTATTCGAATATCAAAGTATTCGAATACCTTTTCGGCTGATTTTCGAATAATTCCGAATAGTAGCCACTTTTCGCCGTAAACGTGGTGTTTCGTTTTACGGGAATCTTCAAACGGATTTTTACGCTGTCTCGTGTATTGTGATGACGATGAATTAGAATCGGCACTTTGATTGTATATATTCTGTGCGACCGTACGTCGCATAGTGTTGCGACACATTTGCGTGGGTGGACATTGCCGACATTCGTCTACAAGGCTTCTAATTTACAAATTCATTTCCATTACGTCGAAAAATTGACATTTACTGTATTTCCCGGCTAATAAGTCGCTTTTCTAGGCCACGGAGATAAAGTGATTTGTGACCCTTTCATTTTGCCGATTCAGCAGAACACGACAGGGAAACACAGCTGTGAAATAACCCGTGGACGTACAGTGTATTACTTATCACATTCCAAAATTATTTCAACATTCTGGTTAATAGGTTGTCCAAAATGATTGCCGCTTTACAACTTAAATTTACCGCTCAATTGTTGAAAATAGTTAATTCTGTGAGTATGATATTACCAAACTAACATGATCTGGTTCTAAACATTTAAAATTATTAGCGCATATCAGCATAACTGAACAACAGGGTCACAGGGACACAATTTTTCTACCCGTCTTTTTGGAGGCCTTTATGGAAAAACCCCTTTTTGGAGTGCTAAAAATAGACATCGTCCTATTTGCCATGTGGACTCATTAGCCGGGAAATACGGTATTTATAGCAGTCATTGTTACGATATCCAATAAATTGTCACAAGTTGGGAAAACAAGTCGATTTATTAGAAAATAATTTCTGGCAAATAATTCTGATAACGATACTTAAAAGTATCGATCATTTACCAGGATGATTTTTTGTTGCGCAAAATAATCCAATCCATGACTGGTACCAGCATTTAAAATGTCATGCCGTATTAATTTAATTCTGTTCAACGTAACTCATGGTTGTATCGACAATCTGTGGACATAAAATGTGTGGTAAACTGACCGATTTTATTAAATATTTTTATATTGATAAAATAATGAAAGTATTAATACCAAATACCACGGGTATTTGTGGACATGAAATACGTGGTAAACTGCCCAACTATAATTTCGGATTCGTATTTACAAAATAATTAAACTATTATAATTCTAAAATGCAACGGCGATCTGTGACCTTAAAATTTGTGGTAAACTGCCCGATTTACCAACATTTGAGTTATGATAATAGAATTAAATTAACACGGTAAGGCATTTTAAATAGTGGTATGGATTCGAATATTTTGCGCAGCACAAAATCATCCTAGTAAAAAGTCCATACTTTTAAATACAAACCAATGGCAACCATTATCCAAATTAGTTCCGAAGAACGGGATAAAATATAAATTCTTTTTCCGACTTGTGACAATTTTTCGTGAGTACGCATGAGAATCAAAAAATAATTATATTCGGCACAATATCACGGCAATCTGTGGACATAAATTGTGTAGCAAACTCGCGATTAATATTAATTTTTGATTCCTATTTTCGTATTTACAAAATACAACGGCGATCTGTGGACTTAGAATGTGTTGTAAACTACCCGATTATAAATAGTTTTTGATTTCTATTTTAATATTTATAAAATAATAAAAGTAATTTTACTCAAACATACAACGGCGATATTCGGACTTAAAATGTGTGGTAAAGTTCCCGAATATATAATTAATTTTTGATTCGTATTTTTGTACTCACGAAAAAATTGTCACAAGTCGGAAAAATAACTCATACTTTATCCCGCTTTTTGGAAAATAATTTGGATAATGGTGGGTATTTAAAAATATGGGCGTTTTACTAGAATGATTTTGTGTTGCGCAAATATTCAAATCCATCATCGATACCACTATTGCCGTATTAATTTAATTCTGTTACTATGACTCATGGTATATAAAATATATACTGCAATAATCTGCAAATATGAAATGCCTGGTAATATAGCTAGGTTGTAACTTGTAGATAGCAAGTATTCCATTGCTTATAGTATGGAAATTCCTACATACATTTAGATAAGCTTCAATTAATGGATTTTATTTTCGAAGTATTCGAAATTTCATATTCGAAAAAAATAATTTCGAATGTATTCGAAATAGTGAACTATTCGGTTTTGGCCATCCCTGAATTACCATCAAATTTAACTGAATTTATCAACAACTCTAGCAATTTTTAATAGGGTATGTGGCCCACCTGAAAATGTTCTCGTGACCCAGCAGTGGGCCATGGCCCGCAGGTTGAGAACCAGTGATATAGACGAACGCTTTTTTCGCATGTCAAAATGTAGGGTTGGGTTCACCCCCTGGAAATAACTTGTTGGTTTAATACGGCTTTCAATATTTAACAAGAAAATGCCAACAATTGAAAAATTCACAGTCAATATCATTCAAATTAATTTAGTCATCGCAAATGGCACCTAGTTTTGCTCAGAAATGAGTTTTTTGCTTTTGAGTGAGGGCACGAATTGCACCGTTACAATTCAATACAATTTCAGTAGATCTAGGCATTTAAGTTTAAAAGCACTTTAAGTGAGTGCTCGTAACTTTGCTCAGAGATAGTCGCCTTTGATTCTGAGTGAATGCCTTTAAATTCATTCATAGATGAGTGTCGTTTCTTCTGAGTGAGTGTTGAAACTTTGCTCATAGATGGGTCTCCTCTACTTTTGAGTGAGTGCTCATACCTTTGCTCAGAAATGAGTCTCCTTGACTTCTGAGTGAGTGCCCGTAACTTTGCTCTGAGATGAGTCTTCTTGACTTCTGAGTGAGTGCCTGTAACTTTGCTCAGAGATGAGTCTCCTCTACTTTTGAGTGAGTGCTCATACCTTTGCTCAGAAATGAGTCTCCTTGACTTCTGAGTGAGTGCCCGAAACTTTGCTCTGAGATGAGTCTTCTTTACTTCTGAGTGAGTGCCTGTAACTTTGCTCAGAGATGAGTCTTCTTTACTTCTGAGTGAGTGCCCGTAACTTTGCTCTGAGATGAGTCTTCTTGACTTCTGAGTGAGTGCCTGTAACTTTGCTCAGAGATGAGTCTCCTTTACTTCTGAGTGAGTGCCTGTAACTTTGCTCGGAGATGAGTCTTCTTTACTTCTGAGTGAGTGCCTGTAACTTTGCTCAGAGATGAGTCTCCTTTACTTCTGAGAGAGTGCCCGTAACTTTGCTCAGAGATGAGTCTCCTTTACTTCTGAGTGAGTGCCTGTAACTTTGCTTAGAGATGATTCTTCTTTACTTCTGAGTGAGTGCCTGTAACTTTGCTCAGAGATGAGTCTCCTTTACTTCAGAGTGAGTGCCCGTAACTTGGCTCAGAGATGAGTCTCCTTTACTTCTGAGTGAGTGCCCGTAACTTTGCTCAGAGATGAGTCTTCTTTACTTCTGAGTGAGTGCCCGTAACTTTGCCCAGAAATGAGACTCCTTTACTTCTGAGAGAGTGCCTGTAACTTCACTCAGAGATGAGTCTCCTTTACTACTGAGAGAGTGCTCGTCACTTCACTCAGAGATGAGTCTCTTTCACTTCTAAGTGAGTGACTGAAACTTACTCAGAGATTAGTCTTTATTTCTTCCTTGTGAGTTGGACTTAAAAAATTTTATTGAAAAACATTTTTTTATCCCAGGTTAAATTCATCCATGACCAGACTGGACCAAATCCAAGGTACAAAGGTTTCTTCAGAGGAGTTGTTCAAATTGTAAAAGAACAAGGTAACATTTTTATAAGAAATAGTTAGGAATACGCTCGCCACCGCACCTCTGATAACTCTGCTGCGTGGGTTCGAATCCCATGCGGGGATGGTCGTGCGCGAAAGGATTGCTGGACTCCTCGTCTAGGGTGGTCAACGTAACTGCTGGTCCGTTACGGCTTCATACACATATTACATAAATATTTAGATTCTATCACATCTTGCAGGCAGGGCCGGACACTCTTTGGTTGACGATCCAAGTTCAGCCCTCCAAAAATTATGGAAAGTGTCTGCCCCTGCTTGCAAATATCATGATCTAATTCAGGGGTGGCCAACCGGTCAGAGACCAATAGCCGCATTTTGTACTTTATTGCCGCGAAGAGCCGCATTATAAAATAAGAACACACATGAACATCAGATATGCCTTTATTCAGTTCTGCTAGAATGCTAGTTTATTGTAAATGTCATTAACCTAATCCTCCCGGTTTGACGCATGCGCGACGTTTCAGACGTTTTGCAATGCTGTGTGTATACCATGAGGTCTGGAATGTTTGTTATGGTCTTGCTTGAAAGGAAATCTTATTCCCCACACAACGATATGAGAATGAACCTTATATGACATTTAGAAGTGATAAAATTTTGCTTACATATCACGCGTGTACTTCCCGCTGCGATATAAAAACGTCGCACAACAAGAAAATGATTCCATAAACCTTGGCGTTGCGCGCAAACCATTAACAAAAGCTAGTATGATAAGGTCTTATTTTGAAGGTCATTTTATATGCTACATAACATAGGAGAGTGGACATCTCACAACGTCAGGAAGTTATAAAAATATCGAGTCGTTTGATCGCAGCTGCCTCACCGAAAAAAAGTTAGGCGTTTTATCTCGCAAATTCTCCTTGTCTGACGATTATAAGCTTTTATGATTCATAATAAATGTTTTATTATGACTCACAAAAGCTTTCAACGCGATAAAGCACAAACAAACAACCGATCGATCTATCAAGCTTAGCCTGGCCTGATTCGATGTGGTGACTTCTCAAATGGAAAATTTTCAAATCGCTTGAACAACGCGCGCTATGGAAAAGCGTTTAGTATCATATGAAAGAGAAAACCAATGTGCAGTCAACTGTATAGTCACATTTCAGCTTTACAATAGCGATAGACGTCCAACAGCTGATAGAATGAGAGAGTGTAAATATTTTTGTTATTTTTTGACGTTACGAGAGACTCGTGAAAGAGGTGTTTTAGTTTACGGTCCTCCAGTGACATCTAGCGTATAGTACTCTAAAATACCTTTCCAATGGTATATAATTATTGTATATTGGGTAAATTTTGGAGGTCGTATGACATTAATAAAAATGTATTCAAAATTGGGCTCGATTGAGCGTCTGAAACAGGTTAACCAACATGATTATGACAAAAATTTACAAGCCATATACTGTTAAGCATGCTAATTAGAGCATGAGCCGCATGAATCTGGAGCAAGAACCACATGCGGCTCGCGAGCCGTGGGTTGGCCACCCCTGATCTAATTTATGACATCTTGCAGATACCCATGTTCTAATTTATGACATCTTGGAAAAATCTTTATGACATCTTGCAGAAACCCATGTTCTAATTTATGACATCTTGCAGGTCTGCGAGGGACGTACCAAGGTCTGACAGCAACAATGTTAAAACAAGGATCAAATCAAGCGATCAGATTTTTTGTGATGACTTCATTAAGAAATTGGTAGGTTTTGGTAATTTTGAAATATTTTCTAGGTAGAGGAAAGCTTTTGTCTTAAACAAGAGGGTCATTGCTGAATTGACGCCCTTGGTCCTGTGACAGTTGGAACAGATTTTTTGGTTTGGAGCTGTGTTCAAGCAATAAAACTAGATAGCGTCATCACCAGCCCCACAAAGTCGAAGCGACGTGTAACCAAAATACCTAAACGCTCCACATCGCAGACAGGGCATTGTTAGGCACACAAAGTTAGGGGATCCCCCAAAACAGAAACTGTGTTTCGATTCTTTCGCTCTGACTCAATAGCGACACCACGTGTCCTATCACTAATTAATCAATAACTCACTAATTATTTGACATAATTCATCCAGAATCAATAGGCTTCTGGTACGATATATGATGAATGCATATGCAAAATATGGAGCAGATTCTACCTCGCTTTCGTGAGATATTGCTTAACATACCAAAGTGTCTAACAGACAGACAAACAAACGAGAATATCGGTCAGAGACCGAAGACTTATCGATCGAAAGTTAGGGGATCCCCCAAAACAGCGCTCTTACTCCATAGTGACACCTTGTGTCCGCTCACTAATTAATCAATAACTCGCTAATTATTTGACATAATTCATCCAAAATCAATAGGCTTCTGGTACGAGATATAATGAATGCACATGCAAAATCTTGAGCAGATTCAATCTCACTTTCGTGAGATTTTCCGTGCATGTAACAGACAAACAGACTAGAGATGTACCGATGTATCGGTATCGGGTATCGGTATCGGCAATATCGGCCATTTTTTTGGTATCGGTGATGTATCGGTATCGGTTAAAAATATACCGATATATTCAGCTCTCAGATCTCATGTAGAATGTTTTGAGGTACAAGTTAGTTTACGGTTCTTGGGAGCTGAAATCATATATATAATATTTTCGGCTTCTGCAAACCCACTTACAGGCGGCTCGCCGCAAGGGGTCACTTCAAGCATAACCCAAATATGAACTTCGCCAGTAATGATTTATTAACATGGGTAATTGAAACATCATCGAAATGGACCTTTCCCCGACCTTTGACCCTCGGAAAATTCTCCCTATACTTTACCATTGCAAAATTGTCAAGGCTATTTTAAGAGTGCTTTTGCGAGTTGGCGTCTGTAAAATGGGGTATGTGTTCCAAACCATCATTATGATTCATCGCATACAACAATCTGTTTTTTAAAAGTACCAGTAAAGAATTTCAGGCTAGTCTATCCCAGCTATTTATACACTAATTTTTATTACTGCAATTAAATTAAAACTTCTAGAAAGACAGAGTGATCATTGAATTATCTGATTTTTATTTCAGTTCCCAAAACACAACTGAAAACTAACGAATAGAGTCCAAAAACGCGAAAACGAGGTAATGTTTACAATCACGCTTGAAAATCTGTCTGAGTGAGAAAAGTGTCTGAGCGGATGCGAAAAGGGGGCATTGTTACGTCATTTTTTGCATCTTGCTGATTGGCCAATGTTACGAAGTAAACAAGGAAGTCGATGCTCGGGGAAAGGTCCATAGTATTTATGGCCTGTGTATCTGTGCACCTTGAATGTTTTGACGCTTGGTCGATTTGTTTTGTTACGTCATAATGTGATGTTTGAATCAGTAAAACGAATCTGCCCGTGCCTGCTAAAACCTGTCTACTCGCCGCTCTCCTGGTTCAACGGCATTTGTCCTGAGTGATTGGCGAAAATGGCTGGTCCATCGCGTAGTGTGGTATGGAAATTCTTTGAAGTTGTAAAAGAAGATGAATGTAAGGTTAAATGCGAGCTGTGTGGTGGCATTGTGTCCAGAGGCGGAAAATCCTCAAAATCGTTTACCACCTCAAATTTGAAAAAGCACCTTGAAATTTACCACCCAAAAGATTTCGAGGCAGAAAAGAGAAGAATTCGAGAGGAAGAGGCCAAAAGGCACACAGGTACGAGTGTTGAGACGTACTTTAAACGATTTCAGTCGGAATCTGGAGAAACAAACCGCGATCGTAAATCACAGCTCAGCGTAGAAGAAGCTTTTTCAAGATCGAAATTGTGGGACATAAACAGCTCTGAAGCCAAGGTTTTACACCGACTAATTGGAGAAATGATAGCAACGGACTGTCAGCCGTTCTCAATAGTTGAAGACGTGGGCTTTAAACGTTTAATGGGCCATACAAAACCCAGATACAATATCCCTAGTCGCAAATATTTTTCTGAAACTGTGATTCCGTCAATCTATAAATCTGTTCGAGAGAAAGTTCAAATGATCGTCCAGCATTCAGAAAATATAAGTTTTACCAGCGATATATGGACAAGTATAAACAACACGCCGTTTCTAAGCATTACTGCCCATACGATCGATGAACATTTTCAAGATAACGTCATTGTGCTACGCACAATTCATTTTCCGGATTCTCACACTTCTGCAAATATCACAAATAATATCTATCAGGTATTACATGAATTCCACATTCCCAGCTATAAAGTTCACGTGTTTGCGCGAGACAACGGATCAAATATGGTGAGAGGTATAGCGGACACGGGCTATGATGCTCTGCCTTGTTTCCTGCATACGCTCCAACTAGTCCTTAAGGATTCTATTTTGGAGCAAGATGTAATTAAAGAATTGCTTGAACAATGCAAAAGAATCGTTAGTCACTTCAGTCATTCAGCGCTGGCTAATAACAAACTCACCAAACTTCAAAAGCAGCATGGCTTGCCGCAGCATAAGCTCCTCAACAGCGTTCCGACAAGGTGGAATAGTATCTACCTCATGTTGGAGCGAATGTTTGAGCAAAAGGTCGCTATTGCAAATTTTGTACTCGATACTCCTAACTTACCAACAATCGATGCTAATAAGTGGAATCTAATGGGTAAATTAGTGAAACTCCTTGAAATATTCCACAAAGTTACTGTTCGACTGAGTGCTCGTTCAAGTACGATATCAGAAATAATTCCACAGGTTAAATATATCATGCACTTGTTGGATGTAGCAATTTCTGGACCGAGATTTCATGGTCTTGGTGGGACACTGACTTCATTCAAAACTTCGGCAAAACTAAGATTTCAAAAGTACATGGATAGCTACAATTGTATTCTCGCAACATTCCTCGACCCAAGGCATAAAGACGTCCTTTTTGGGGCGGAACGCCTTATCGAAACTTCGAAGTTTCATCGAGGTACCATCCGCCAAAGATTGTTGGAGACGCTCGAGAAACGCAAATTAGACGCTGCAATTCATACAGGCGAAAGTGAAACATCATGCTCAAGTGGGACGGAGTCGGGAAGTGATAACGGTAACTTGCCTCCGCGTGAAGACGACTTTAGTGATTTGGATTTCGAAAAATGTTATGATCGTCTTGTGATGGAAACTGAGGATCATGCCACTAATAAAAAATCGTCTAGAAGCGAATCTTTGACATTATTCTCAGAGATTGAGAGATATGTTTCATGTCGCCGAATCGAAAAAGACGAGAATCCCATATACTGGTGGAAACAAAATAAATCGATATTTCCTTGCTTGAGTTCTCTGGCAAACAAATATCTTTCCTGCCCACCATCTTCTGTCGAAAGTGAAAGACTATTTAGCATTGGCGGAAATATTTATACGCCTCATCGAAACAGACTATCACCTGATACTGCTGAGGAGCTAATGTTTTTAAATCATAATCTGAGATATTTTGAATTTCAGTATTAAAGTATCTTGAATGACAGATGTCAATTCGTTGTTGTGATAAAATAAATAAAAATGGCCTTTTTTGAAAGGCAGTGTAGTTTTTGTTGTAGTCAGAATTTGATGATTGTCAGTGTGGTTTAGAGATTAGGGAGTCAGAGCGAACGCAGCGCATCACGGGATACTCCCAAAGTATGTGAACCAAGATGACGGACACCGGTACGTAGTATGTGTACCAGGCTAGGGTTGGGCCATAATTTTAAGTACAAATACTACGGGAGTTACTTGGCTAGTCCCCGAAATCGTGATAGAACTAAAATTGGAATAAAATTATGGTCCTATGGTACACATACCACGTTCCGGTGTCCGCCATCTTGGTTCACATACTTCGGGTGTACCCATCACGGTGCCCAAATTAGCACATTACGGGCGGTGCCACGAACCTAACGAGGACGGGGTCCCCTATCCTTGCGACCAGGAAGCATAAACGGATATTATGTCGTCTAGTATCATGACGTTTTATTGCCGCTTTGAGCTTTTTAAATTCAAATTATTATCAAATTTATCTATGATGGTATTTTTACGTCGTTTATTACATTTTACTATAATTAGCCGGATTGACCCCTATCTCTGTATACGTACACTTTTGGAATGCAAATTATGATGCAATTAATTCAAGTATTTTAATAAACCGTTAGCAGTTTTGACACGTTCCCGTGTTCTGAGATATCCGACTTTCAAGTTGAAATATTATTCACTGTAAATACTGCATGCATACAGGTATTTTATCCCAATCGTCTCGTAAGCCAGAGAGCATTATGTACATATATACACATTGATGTTGTTACATATTATTAGAATATCGGTATCGGAATATCGGTAATATCGGCAATTTTGAATATCGGCGTATCGGTATCGGGTCATTTTCGTTGGTATCGGATCGGTATCGGTATCGGTGAAAAAAGTGGTATCGGTACATCTCTAAAACAGACAAATACCTATCAACATACTTACTGATTAAAATCGATAAGTAACAAACAGACAAATACTATTATCCTGTTTCTTGTCTTAGGTACAGAGGAGATGATCCTGGCAAGGAAGTTGGAATGTTGTTGACAGCAGCTTTCGGCGCAACTGCTGGGGCGGCGTCAGTCTTTGGTAACACACCACTAGATGTCATAAAAACACGAATGCAGGTTTGTTTTGCTGTCTTATCACAGTGCAGTGAGTCTTTAATCTTTAAGTGGCTCCACTTTTTGTGGCTGGACTTGTTGCAAAATCCAGAAAAAAATAACAAATGTAGGTTTACGTAACTATCATTTGGGGTTACGCAAGACTACCTTTCCTTGCTCTATGCTTTTGGGAAGTGGATCTGTATGAGTGTAACGTTACACTCGACTTGGTAACCAATCAATATATTTTTCCAGGGCCTCGAATCTCACAAATATAAGAATACATGGGATTGTGCGAAACAGATTTGGACAAACGAAGGCGCTTTAGCGTAAGTTTTTTTTATTCGAGATTTTTAATTATTTTTTCTGGACAAGGCACTGGGATTCAAAACAGGGATTGTTTGGAACCACAATGTCTTCGGAGCCACGGTATAACCTGTGTTTATTTGTGGAATTAATGGACCTAATGATCAAGGACTTAATAGATAACGGGACCAAATAATGATAACGAGACTCTGTAATGATAACGGGACTTTATGATAAGAGTTTAAAGTTTGCTCAAATCATGGTTCCGAGCTCTCAACAAAAAGTGGGAAGAGTACGAGTACTGATAGATAGAAATTCCAAGTTGCCACTAATAGCTATTCGTTTTTTTCCATGCAATAAAACTAATTTTGGTACATACTTTCTGGAAACAATCTTCAAGATTTTAGTTAAAATGATTGATAATCTAATTTTAATTTCTAACCCTGTATTTTCAGATTTTACAAAGGCACTGTACCGCGACTTGGAAGAGTTTGCGCTGACGTAGCACTCGTGTTCGTTCTCTATGAACAAACTGTCAAATTCCTGAACAAAGTTTGGCCGGAAAAAGACCAACTATAAACTATTATTGTTATATCATAGTTATGCAATTGTTTCACGCTTCGTTAATTCCATTGTGGGTTGGTTTGGGGAAAAAAACTTTTACCTGAACCATCAATTTTGCCACCGATCCCTGTTTTCGTGTCGTTTACCTGAAGGTTTATATCTATCTTAACCCAGTCCATATCGTGAGCTCCACTTCATACCGCCACGGCCCAATTGTGGGCTGCTATTTCTAGTGGGTTTTCAATAAATTTCAATTGTGGCAGTGATACACAAAAAAGTTCTTTAAATCCAACATATCAATTTTTTGCCAAATGGTTTTGTTCATATAATAAACGATCATACCTTCCGCTCATTTCAACTAAAATTGAATGCCTCTTAATAAGTTCATTAAACAGTGGAATTTTAAATTCTAACGAAATTGTTGGAACTTGAAACCTCACTTAAAAAAACTTTGCTGACCACTGGCTTACTCTAATCATTTTCCGAAAGTTTTATATCGATCGTAACCCTGAAGATCGAATTTTATATGCTCACTTTAACTCAGTGGTTTTCAACAGTGCTTCAAAATTGCTCCACATGTTTTCTATATTGGCAAATTTCATGATCAGATATAGGCACTCCCGAAGTATGTGAACCAAGATGGCAGACACCAGAACGTAGTATGTGTACCGGGTCAGGACATAATTTTTCAGGTACAAATACTACAGGAGGCACTTTGCTATTCCCTGAACTCGTAATAGAACTGAAATAAGGAAAATTGGATTAAAATATGTCCTAACCTGACCTGGTACACATACTACGTTCCGGTGTCCGCCATCTTGGTTCACATACTTCGGGGAGTATTCAACTATACACATAAATAATTGCATAGCGGTTCGCAGAGTCTCTGGAATGTTGGATTGGAGTCCCGCTCCACCAAAAAGGTTGAAAACCATTGCTGCAACCATTTGCCCAAAGTTTAAATCTATCCTAATCACATTTCCACGCAAACACTGTGCTAGAAAGTATTCGAACAAAATTTCTTTCGTACTGGTTTGAGCTTTGGATCAAAAATGGTCAGGGGTTTCCCGAATCTCTGGGCATTGGTACAAAATTCTCTATAACGAACGTGGACAAACTACACATGGGCCAAATCCGGCCGGCTGAGTATTTCAATCTGGCCTGACTGACGCTGCCACAACTAAACTGAAACCAAATTGTGAGTTTTTATTTAAAAAATAGCTTAAGGAATATGTCGAGGTTGCGATAAAATTTAGTTTTGGCTTTGTTTTCCACTTTTGCATTTGTAACACTGTAATATTGTTCATAAAATGGTTTTCAAACTTTTCAAGTCATGCTCCTTTTTCAGAATTTGCCTCGCGTCCCACTTGAAAAAAAAAGTAGCTAACAACAAGCTACAAATAACATATAGTAAGGTGAAAGTATGTTTTATTCAAAAAAAAAGGGTAAAATGAATGTAAATATCCAAAATAAGACGGGTAAGATCGAATGTAACAAATATTTTCAATTTTAATTAGCTTAACTACCCCTCAAAAAAAATGCCACCTATGTGGGACACGCCCACCTTTTGAGAACCACTGCTTTAGTGGGTGGACTTTGCGCTATAGTACCGCCAAACATAATGTCTATGTTAGACTTGGGCTGCACGGCACAATGTAGAAGTGTGTACCCCCCTATACAATTTCTTGCTATTTAATATTTTTTGTAATTATATGAATGTATTAAACTATATATATATTATCTTTAGTGATCTTTGTAATTATTGAAGAGTTTACCAGAACAAAAATTCTAGAAAATTTAGAGATCAATCAAATAAAATTTATTAATATGTATGTATGTGTATGGACGTAACTAATTTTGTTTGCATATTTTACATCAAGATGTGTAAAGGGACTGAAACCTATGGGCAGGGGGTATATTTACTTGGCTAACACAGACAGTCCCCGAACTCGTAATAGAACTAAAATGAGGAAAATTGGAATAAAATTATGCCCTAACCTGGTACACATACTTTGGAAATACCAAAAATTCTATCTTTTTCGGAAGGTGCAACGGCCTGGCGTCAAGAGTTTTCGCAGGTTACACATTCCTCTGGTCAAATCCCATGCCCCTCCGATGAAAAGGCATCACATATAAAAAATCCTCAAATTTTCCGACCATATTTTGTTGGTTCTCGGAAAAATTGTTCCATCATGTAGATTTGCCGCTGATAAAAATATGGTTACCATTTGATAAATTGTGGAAGTTTTCAGATCTTTCCACTAGAGTTTGGCATTTCACACAAGCGCGGTCACTTTAACTTGGTCAAAAAACCTTGCTCACCCCTGCTCTTACCTCTTGACCATCGGTTATGTCCTTTTCTCTAATTACCTTAGTTTTTAATTTTGTTGATAAGAATAAATCTACTTGTGCTGGTGTGTTTATTATTGTTTTTGATTATATTCGTAGCAAGATGTTAATTTTCCATGAAATTTAGACTCTTATAATATGAGTGTTGCTAAAAAGATTGTCCGTCTGATTTTTTGGGAATAAGCTCTTCAAGAAAAGTTTTCAGCTGTAGTGTTTGGTTGGTTCACTAATGTGAATGTCCCCCATTGCCCAGCTGTTATGAGTTGGAATGGGCGCCTCAGAAGTATGTGTACCAATATGGAGGTAACTAATTTTGTTCGCCTACTTTACATCAAGTTGTGCAAAGGGACTGAAACCTATGGACAGGGGGTATATTCACTTGGCTAACATTGACATTCCCCCGAACTCTTATGAGAACTAGATTCTGAATAAAATTATGCCCTAACCTGGTGCACACACTACGGGAGTATCATAAACACCACCTTTGTGTGAATTGTTTGGTGCTGCCGAAGTATTTGTACCAAGATGGCGCACAACCTGAACATAGTATGTGTACCAGCTTGTGCGTCATCTTGGTACGAATACTTCCGGAGCGCTAATTGTTTTACCATTGTTGGTTTAGGGATTCGTTGTTCATTCATCGCGTCGAATATAGCGAGAAAGAACATAAATTCCTAAAACTCTATCAAAGAAAGAGAGACGCAGGAGGAGAGTGCAATCTTTTCCACAGAGTGAGTGATTATTGCATTTTTTCTACGTCTGAAAATGCTTTGTGACAAAATATAGGATGCCTTATTACCTAACAGACGGGTCGAAATACGACGATATATCTTTACGTTAGCACAGACATAGGCAAACTTTGGGCCGCGGGCCTAATCCGGCCCTTTGGGTAGTACAATCTGGCCCGCCTGATGCTGCCACAACCGAACTAAAATTTTGATGTTTTAGCTAAAAGATAGCTCAATGAATTTGTTGAGATTGGGATTAAATTTAGTTTTGGCACGAAGCTCATTGTTTTCCACCTTTTTTTTTGTAACAGTGTAAATATTGTTCATAAAATGTAACGTTTACGTCTCACTTACATGGCCCGCCAGTGGCCTATGGTCCAAAAATCGTGCCCACCCCTGGGTTAGGATGAGTAGGGAAATAACCAGAACTCGTACCAACCTGACCAGAGAAGAGCAGATGATATAATTTGTTGTCGATGTATACTGGGATAGCACCATATATCTCCTAAAAACAAGTCAAGTGTATGCATCCGAAAACAAATAACTGTCTAACTAATCCCATACCCGACCTGGTATTCGGACGAGAGACCGTGGTTCGCCATATGTTTAAGCCGCGATATCGACTTTCCTCTCTTCTGGGATAAATATGTAAATCTTATCCTATCCTAAAATGAACGTTCAAAATATCACAGATTAATGGAGTCACTGAAATCACCGTGGGGGGGAATGACGTCTGACAATAGTAACGGCCCTGTATAGAATATCGAATTTAAACAACCATATGTGGGGTGTATCGGGGTGTGTGTGTGTGTGTTGAAGTTACGCGTTGGCATGGAAAAGAGGTTTGGTTATTGGAATTCTATTGTATTCCGCGCGTCACGGAGTTACGTTAACGCGAGCAGCACAACAACAGTAGAAGAAAAAATTGTCTTCAGAAAGGTATCAAGTCGACCGTATAATATTGGCGAGGCTTTGTCACGCGATCAGTTCGCGACGGCAGTCTCGCGTATTAGTTGGTACTGAATGAATGTTAATTTCGCTCAGTATTAAATGATATAACTTGCGATAAAAGTGAATTCGTGACAGGGGAAGAATACGATACCAGCCACGATTCTCAGTCAGAGACTAGGACAAATCAGTTTGTTGGACTTTTCCTGAAAAGAGTAGGATTTTGTGCAAAAAAATATCTGCCGTTTTGTATTTATTCGCTGTAATCTAGTAGTCGTTCGAAATTAGGTGGTGGAGGGAGTCGTAACCGACCAAAAGTTCATTGACCCAATCTTCATTAATGAGGAGTCTAGCAATTGTCTATCATCCCACAAAATTGGTACATGTAAACAGTGGTTCTGTAATAAAACGTCATACTTTTTTACCAAATAAACTGATTATTTTTAATTACTACCTAGTTACCATTTCAAAATGATGGTTAAGTAAGCATCATTATGTCAAAATTAAATGATGTCCAAGATTGTCTATATTGCTGTATATATTATATACTCGATGATAATGAAAACCAAGGAGCCGTGCATAAATACATGAACACAAAGACGTTCCGGCACAGACTACCGTAAAGTAAACTATAGATGATGATACGCCATTGTTATAAAACAAACATCTGACTGAAATCTGACAATAGGAATCGGCCTTGGTAACCACAGCAATAGTTATGAAAACAATCAAGGCTGGGACGGGTGTGTATTGGATTCATGGGTTGGGGGTGGAAGAGAGGTTTGGTTATTGGAATTCTATTGTATACGAGCGATTTGGGCATACGCGTGTCATGGATGCTATTTTGCGGAAAACAGAAACCAGAGGTACCAATTCATTTGCATTCGTGTCAGTGGTTTGCAATAAAAATTATTGCAACTTACGTGGCACAGTTTTGGATTTAACAGTTTACATAACTAGCGATGCAGCCAGGTACCGTATTTAGTGCTCCTGAGGTATGTGTACCAAAATGGCGTCATCTTTGTATCAAATACGGGGCGCTCCAAGAGTATGTGGCGCA